TTGAAATGAGACTATTTGGACTGACTGTGAATTTGAGGCTGAAAATGCATGTGTTTTAAAAACAAGGCAATTTGTACAAGAAGTGGCAGTGGAATAGCTCAGTCGGTAGTGAGTTGGATTGTTGTCTGCTAGGCCAATAGGTGTCGTGGGTTAGTATCCTCCTCAAGTAAGAAAAAGTCTGATGTGCTTCCGTTAGTCGAGCTTCCACTCCCACTTCCATACAATGTCAAAAAAAAGTATAAATAATAAGAACTTTGGAATATGATCTACTAGATGTTGTAGGACTGGTAGTAGGAAATGTTGTTGGTCTGGCAGTAGGTGGTGTTGTTAGACTGGCAGTAGGGGAGGTTGTAGACCTGTTAGTCGATGATGGTGTTGGACTAGTAGAAGGGGAGGTTAATCATGGTTCTTTTACTTCCAGTCCAACAATATCCCCCACCCCTATCTTACAACATCCCCCACAACCTGTCGTACAACATCTACTACCAAGTCCAACATTATCTCTTACTACTACCAGTTCAACAAAATCTCCTACTTCTAGTCTATTTGTTGTCGGACTTATATGGAGGTCATTCGTATTCAGAATTAGATGCTATGTACTTATGTCTAGTACATACGACACGATACATCTGTGCAATGTTCAAAGACAAAATACCTCTTTTACTTATGTCATAATACGTCTAATTCATAATGCAAATGTTAAATTACATAAAACCACCGACAAAATAACTAAAATTATACGTGCAATGTCTTTTCACTTTCGACATTGTACATGGAACAAAGCATAATTGTCTTTGCATCTTTTACATTGCACTAGTTACATTACATCTTCGTTTCTACATAGCGAACGTGTTTTATCTCGACTTATCTTTTTGTGGCCTGTGGGCGGAGCCTATTAGCAATATTAAATCATATGTGCCAAAAAAGTATTTGATCCAAGAACTGAATATTTCCTCCTCTTCACTGGTTGCAAATTCAATTTGAGGAGAATACAGCCTTCCAAGTCGACATTTCGCATTGATTCTCGAACTCTGTTCAGTGGGATGTAAATAACCCTTTCCTTTTAGATGTCCAATACACTTCGATAGCCCACATTAGGATGATTAGCAAAGAATGTTCGTAACCATTTGATCAAGTTCATCATGGGAAATATTGCTGTATTTGTCATTGATTTTTTATGTCATTTTCAGATAGCCTCCTTTGGATGATGCTCTTGCTAACATTAAAATTATTTTAATTTAGTTGTAGAAAAAGGTCTATATCGGTAATACTAATAGTGTTCACAACTCAGTACTCACCGTCGAAATTTGGGTTTTCTAACCCATGTGTGTCCAGAATTATCCGCGTTTGACAGTTTAAAAGACGAGAATATGTGAAAATGGGAAAATAAATTTCTAGTTTGTGATATGTTTGAAGGAATTATGCGTATTTCATTCATTTCTACTACTTCTGAAGACTATTTACACATATTCAAGACTCAAATATCAATAAAACATTGTATATACTCCAAAATATACTTTGATGCTATGCCACTGGGCTAATAAGAAGTGAAAATATTGAAGAAACAGCATATAACTTTGGATGTTAGTGCATTTTATGGTACCCTCGTCTGTTTTTCTTTTAATATAAAGAGTGAAAAGTGCTATATTGTCTTAATCTGAGTATGTCAAATTTTTTTTTTACAAATAGTCTCATAAATGCTTGACATAGAACTTCTTGCACATAAGCTCTAAATACGGATAATTGGGCGGATAATTGCCAACTACAGCTAAATAAAATTTGTTATTCTGTTCATATATGCTTGCAAACGCTATAAAAGAAATCTCAGTTTTGGTGTTTTGTTGAATTATTATAATGGCCCTTACTTTTGGTTTGAGAATTTGGTTTGAAAACGCGACTTTGACCAAATATATCATGATTATTTTGGTATGCTGATTACATTTCCGGGCGAATTATATTTTTACGATTTTCTGTTGAATGGTGAGTTGCATTCTATGTTATTAAAGCTATATGATAAAATTTGTACGTAGTTTGATCGAGTAAGTTTTTGAATTATTTTCGATTTTCACCTCAGTTTTGATCCCACTTTGACTAATATTGGTATGCATTATGTACATTGATGAGATCAGTTTTGATGCTTTTTTGGAAGGTTGCTTTATGATTAAAATTTTGCGGTGCGGCTTCCGTAGTACGTTTTCCGCCGAGTCCTATAAGAACGACAAAATAGGCGTTCTGTAGGCCGCAATATAAGAAGGTTATCACGCAATGATTATCAACTACCAGACGAGAGTGGTTATCTACCAATGTCATTGAAACAATGGAACAAATAGTATTTCTCCATTGATGAATAAGATTAGTAGTTTTTATTTGTATCTTATGCCATGTTCTTATCTATCGTCTATTAACTTACATACTAACGTTTCTGTTTTCTATTGTAATGTCCCTTACTGCTGTATTGTCTTTATAACCCAAGACAACATCGGTTTTAGTCAGTTTTGTCTGCGGATAACGGATAGCTCAGGTCGTAAAGTCCACCAATATACATGGGGCAACAAGGAACCCACCTGTAGACTAACATTATCGGAATAAACTATATAAGAACTTCAGTGATATTTTCTATATAACAACCAAGACGATCATGCTTAAAAGAAATGTTTTCTAACACAGGTCGGACGCCGCACCGCAAACCATGCTCTGTAAGTACTTTAACGAGGGCATGATTACCATTAGACTGAAACATCTGTCTCTATTCCAGCCTCTGATAGCTAATTGTAACAGATCTCAGCTGATGTTTCGGACTAGATTACCATTTTCATGATTTTTTCTAGTTAATGCCCCTCACTGAATATGCCACATTTTGCTTTTAAAGGTAAGTACATTTAAAATCAGGTTTAAAATTTTGATGAACTTTAGTACGAGTATGTAGCCTATATTTTTTAATTTCATGGTTTCTCAATATGACTGCTACCGTGAAATTTGCCGCTGTGTGGATTTGCAGCCTGTTGAGTGACTTTTCGAACAAGCTTTAACTTATTTATGTGTTTTGGTGTCAAGTGGGATAATTTCAATGTGAGTTAGTTAAAAGGGATAATCTGATTTTGCCACATTACCACATTGAAACTTTAAACTACCTGTCAATATACATAGAAATATTATCTTATATGAAAGTTTAAAAGCCTTATGGTGGCATCTAGGGGTGTTTTGGGACTTGAAATAATGTAAATACTCTTCAGAAGTAGCCTACTATAAAATTACGAAAATCGCAGAATTCCTTCAAATATACCTCAAACAAGAAATTTCACTTTTTATTCCGTCCACAAGCTTATCTTCTTTTTGAAAGTTGGATTATCCGCGAGTTGCAAGTCTGGTTTTTTTGTTTCCATTAGGACACAGTCGACTATAATTTATGTACGAATCCCCTTTCTCTCCCCCTTTTGAGTTTTAGCATACCTATTTTTGACTGATTTTTTTGGTCTAGATTCGGAATTTGATGTCTGAAATTGCATTTTCTTTAAGATTTTGCGAGATGAGAGATTTTCATGCGGAAGGATAATTCTAAAAATAGCTGCGGTGTATATATTGACAGTTAAGCACATGTTGATCAAATGTAGTGTTTACTTTCAGTTTGGCTAGCTCAAGATTTTCATTGTCATGATGTATTTATGTCATATATTGGAAGTTTTCAACGAGATTAAATTTCGTGATTTAATATGGAAACAGATGGCAAATGAATTACTGGTCTATGTCCTGTATTAGGCTAATATCTTTTGCGGCTTTGTCAGTTTACTTTTTCCCATGTGACGCGTTGTCTGGCCTACGTAGAAAATTAAATATTCCAGCCGTTACCGTTGAAATGACGCAATGTGTATTTTTAGTGTTTTAATGGTCTAGGTCACAAAGTATAGACTCATACTAAACCAAGGTTCATGGCTGAGATTAAAGTGATATCATTTCTCTTGGTAAAATCAAGTATTCTAATTTCGTGCTAACCTATTTTTCGTGCATTTTCAGAAATGATTAATAATTTATATGTGCGACCTCGCGTGACCTCCGCATTTGCTTGTTTTGATAAACATGGGTTTTCTGTATAATGTCAGCTAGTAAAATGAATCCAGTAGTATCAAGCAAGGTAAAATATATTAATGTATACTTTGACAAATACAAAATGGCGGATTTCACTTATTACCAAATGTCACCAGTTTTTATCGACCAATTTCCTTATAATCCCAAGCGGTATTCGGAATTCCAAGTGTCGTCTGCTAGAATGTAGTCCAACGAATGAAGTCGTGTGGTCAATTAGCGGATTCCGTGTCAGCAGAAAATTTCTATGGAACACAAAGTGGGCCATATTCTTATGTTGTTTCAATGACTTTTAGCAATAAATCACGCTACGTATCTTATTTTGTCAGTCACTATTTTTTTTTATAACCGTGGTTCTTTGAAGGAATTGTCACTAGTTATAATGAATTGATATTAAAGATAAATACTAAGAGAAGTTATTTATACAACCCGGTATCCATACAACGTGTTTTTCTCGACTTATTTATAGATCAACATTGTACACGAAAATAGGTGACGCATTCTGCCGCCGTTGCCGAGTTGGTTGCTCATGAAATATGGGTCAAAGTGAAGGATTCATAAAGAAAATCGGAACAAACCAATTTTAATTATTTTGTAGAATATCTGAGGAAACATCTAAGACATAAAAAAAAAATTTCGTTTGTTAACTTTGATGAAATTCGGTGTTGAATCCTTATATGCACGAAGTTACACCACTAGGCTATCAATAAAACAAACAAATTACAAGAGTTTGCCAGGCAAGGTAATATAATTATTGCTACATTATATATGAAAATATGGACATTAATAGAAAAAGGTTTTCTGTGGTCTTGGGAAAGTTCAATGGTGGTACCAAGTGGTAAAAAGTCATTATTTTACATCTTAAGTTTGGTTACGTATATGCCGGAAGTAGAATTTATCACATGATGTAAACAAATAATGGCGGCGTTGCAGATCACTTAAAATCGACAAAGTTTAAAGTTGAATTTATCGTGTATTCATTACACTTTTAGGTTAATGATCGCTTTAGAGATAAAAATAATAATAGCATAAAGTTTATTGTAATCGAAGTAGGCTAGCGATCTGTGGTGAGTTTAAGCTGTTTTTTTAAACTGTTTCAGTTTGACAATCAGTGAATCAGCAACAAACATGAACAAACAGGTTTAGACGATACAGTGGTGTAACCTATTTTCGTGGATATAAGGATTCAACACCGAATTTCGTCAAAGTTAAAAAAACGAAAAAAAATTTTTATGTCTTAGATATTTCCTCAGATATTTTACAAAATAATAGAAATTGGTTTATTTCGATTTTCTTACTGAATCCTTCACTTTGACCCATATTTCATGAGCAACCAACTCAGCAACGGCGGCAGAATGCGTCACCTATTTTCGTGTACAATGTTTGATCTATAAATAAGTCTAGAAAAACAAGTTGTATGGATACTGGGTGGTATAATTAACTTCTCTTAGTATTTATCTTTAATATCAATTCATTATAACTAGTGACAATTCCTTCAAAGAACCACGATTTAAAAAAAATAGTGACTGACAAAATAAGATACGTAGCGTGATTTATTGCTAAAAGTCACTGAAACAACATAAGAATATGGTCCACTTTGTGTTCCATAGAAATTTTCTGCTGACACAGAATCCTCTAGTTGATCACGTGACTTCGTTCATTGGATTATATTCTAGCAGACGACACTTGGAATTCCGATTACTGCTCGGGATTATAATGAAATTCGGCCGATAAAAAATTGTGTCGTTTGGTATTAAGTGAAATCCGCCATTTTGTATTTGTCGAAGTATACATTAATACATTTTACCTTGCTTGAAATTACTGGATTCATTCTACTAGCTGATATTGTACAGAAAACCCATGTTTATCAAAACAAACTAATGCAGAGGTCGCGCAAGGTCGCTCACGTAAATTATTAATCATTTCCGAAAATCCACGAATAATAGGTTTCCACGAAATTAGGTTACTTGACTGTACTAGCCTATATAGTATAGTGATATTCTGTACGAAGTTCATACCAAATATATTGCCTATTTTTTGAAAAATAACTTTATTACAATTGTGATTTGACAATGTGATTAGCTTCTGTCTACTGATCTTGTGACCAATCACATTATGGAAAGAATCAAATATTACAGTGGTGTAACCTATTTTCGTGTATATACGGATTCAACACCGAGTTAAAAAAAACGGAAATTTTTTTTCATGTCTTAGATGTTTACTCAGATATGAAATAATTAGAATTGGTTTGTTTCAATTTTCTTTATGAATCCCTCACTTTGACCCATATTTCATGAGTAACCAACTTGACAACGGCGGCAAAATGCATCACCTATTTTCGTGTAGGCTACAATCTATAAATAAGTCGAGAAAAACACAAGGTATGGACACCCAGAGGTATAATTAACTTCTCTTAGTAAATTATTAATCATTTCCGGAGATGCACGAAAAATAGGTTAGCACGAAATTAGGTTACTTGACTGTAAGTCAGCTTAATCAGTACTGAGGATGTCTCAGAAGCAATTAAGCTTACTAAAGACAGTGTAACAGTATAAATGGCTATGTTTTGTTGTGCATGTATATTGTAAGGCGGTGTTTATTTGCACTGCGACAGTACAAAAATGTCCATCGCTACCTAACCATACTAACAAAGTCACTTATTTAAATATCATTCTTGACATTCAAAATGGCATCACACTTTAAAAAAAAAACAAATCTAGCGCGCCTATTCTGTCTTATCTTATCCGTACGGTTGTTAGCAGCCATAGAGAACATGCATCGGTACGGTGCAAATAGCCAGTAAATATGATACAAGATGTAAAACTAGTGTAAAGAGATAAAAGAGGTCTTATTATGATGAAATTATATTAATATCTTCTTTTTATAGATTAATGAATTAGAATTGAAATCAGAATGATTCAAGAAGAGTGCAAATCATTACTCCTTAAACTAAAGCTACAACAGAAAAACCTCAAAAACTTTTTGCCAACCATAAATGTAACTGATTCTTTTGTTAGTGAAACAACAAGTGATGAATCAGACGTGTCTATATGGTCATCACCTGGTCAAAGTTCATATGCCAGAAGTAAATTAAAAACTCTCATTTCCTCTCCCCCAAATGACACAGATAGTCTTCAATCTTCATTCAATAAGCAGACATTACAATCTCGTTTTTATCAATTAGAAAGGCAAAGGACTTTAAATGATGATATTGTATATAAAAACACTAAATCAAAAGAATTGGATTCCATACCAGCCATGACCCCACGAAGATCAGTTAAAGTGTCTGGAAATTTTTTACGGGATATCAATGATTATTTAGATGATTCCAAAGATCTAACCATGACATCACTAAACTCTGATTATACTACTGTTCACAAGAAGTCTGCTATGTCACCAACCATATCGGAGAGTTCTCTTGTACCATCTACTCTTAACACAGCACAAAAACGCAGCATCATAGACAGAAATGTACCCGTGGCTTCAAAATATGATGATTTTCAGTTTGATTACAATGCTTCTAAATTAAATTATAGTTACTCTACTGTCGAGGATGGTGAGGAATCGTTTTTGAGATCACGTCTGAATGAATCACCCGAAGACATCTTCCTAAAATATGATAAGGATTATAAAATGGAGAAACATAATAGAGAGCACATGAATGTTAGAGATACAAAATCACATGGGACAAGGAATAGACAGGATGCTAAGGACAACGAAAAAACTGATCTAAGAGAGAAAGGTGAAATGAGAAATAAGATAGTAAGAGATAAGATAGAACCAAGAGAATTGAGGGAAATGAGAGAAAGGGAAGAATTACAAAAACAACAATACAAAGAATTGTACAAGAAACAGTTAAAGGACAGTGGTAATGACAAGAATTATGTGTCAATTATAAGAGATTCCATTCAGCCGAGGTCTATCTTATCATCACCTGGAATACGCAACTCCAGCAAGAGTAAGGTAGGTAAACCTACATTCAAAGTAATAAGCTTATATGGTACTTTTTTATTGTCACATATAATATAATAAGTCAAATAAATCCACAAAACATAATTTCAAAACAAGTTTTAAACAGTATGTCATGTCAATATACAAATGAAATGAACCATCTCAAGAGAGTTATCTTATGAATGATGACTATGTAATTTGAGCTTATAGTTCGCAACATTGTGTTTCTCATGTTGTAATACAATGTGAAAACATACAGGTTATGTATATTTATACAAGTAATATGTACCAGATTACATTATGTTGTTTTCCCTTACTTTCAGACATCTGTTCGAGTAAGTTTTAAATCTAACAGTTTTAATAATGGTGATGAAGTTCCATTGACCTCCAAGTTAATGGGCTATGATTGGATTGCAGCTTTATTAGACAATGAAACAGGACAAATGGATGAGTCAGAGACTTTTTTTCAAGAATTAAAAGATTTTCGAAGATCCAATAGAGATGAATGTTGCAATAATTTCTATATGAAGTAAGTAACCATGTGTCTGTTCCAGCACTTTCCTTCCAAAATTTGATATTAAGTTGGTACATCAGTTTTGATTTTGTTTTTATTAGTGAGTTTGAATCCACAAATATTATCTTACTATTGTATTGGTAAATACATACCATACTTTTCATTACATGGGCTTCAGTTATTGATTTTTTATTTCAATCTGATTAATTTTGTTTGTGTTTAAATTGCAAGCCATGATATAACCTATAATGCATTGAATAGTCAGATAAAGGTTCAGATAAAATGTGGGCGTAATATTGTTTTTACAAGTAGAAATATATGATCAATTATGAATTTTTTTGGTACCAGCCATTTATTTTTTTACACCAAACTTATTTTTAAAAAAATTCACGTACATTATGCTTTTTGGAAGTTGTTAAAAAAATAATGATGGATTTAAGCAAAAAGAAAGGTTCTAATTGTTGAGAAACATGTTTAAAACATATTTTAAAGGTTTCAACTAAAAATAAGTCTTTTTGAGGCCCAAACCTTGGTCAAATTACTTAATATACAATTAGTACGCTCTATTTAATAACCCCTTCAAGTCAAAAACAGTCTGTTTGATCAAGTAGACATATAGATACAAATAGCATACTTTAGAAATATATTCAAGTATGATGTTTTTGATAATTAAAAGTTTACATACTGCCTTTTTCATACATGAATAATTAAATCACGATTCCGTTTACACCGTAATCACGTGAATTCGGTTTATAACTGTGTAAACGGAATGTAAATATTAGTTCCGCCCCTAAACGGACTACTTTTTCATTGAATTTGATTGACGTGGCCACTACATGGCGTCGATGTCGTTCCTTCGAACGTCAACAGAGCCGAAATCAACACTTCACTGCATGATTACGGTATTTTCCAAATGCCCTCGAATGTGCTCAATACAAATATCATCAAAATCACGATTTTTGGACTTGTTCGAATTCGTCTTTCAATGTGGCTGCTCCGTCAACTTTCATGCAATAGACAGTGTAGACTATAAATAGCGTGACCTACTTATTGCTGATTGGCTATGCGGATTTATACAGTGTACACAGGTTTTTTCTGTTTATACATTGATAAACTGAAAAAATGTTCATTCCTTAATTACACCTGTATCATATAAATATAAGCTATATTAGAGGTCCCTGACAAAGAGGTATATATAACAGATTTTTATACGCCCACATCTCTCTATGTGGACGTATATTGTCGGCACCCTTGTCTGTCCGTCCGTCAACATTTGCTTGTAAAAGCTCTAATAACTAGATTTTTTGATGGAATCAAATGAAATTGGGTATGTGTATACATATTTATAAAACAAAGATCAAGTTCGGATTTGAGCTATTTTTGACCGTTAGAAGCAGAGTTATTGTCCTTGCCCCAAAATCTTGAATATTTACAATCTGCATGCCGTGGTGGGCGTATAAGGCTGTGGTCCACTATCTTTATCTTTGTTTTGATATATTTTTAGTAATACTTTAACTTATGCTGAACCAAAAGAAGAACCTCCTGTTGTTAAAGCATTAACAGAGCCAAGTAAGTATCAATTTAGCTATTGTAATATTCATGTTACTGATAATACTAATGTCAAACATTACTAACATATAAGTCATTAATGATGAGAATATCGGGTAGTGAAAGCAGCGGTAAGACGTGGTTCATTGGTACAAATGTGGAATGTGCTGTGACTGTAGATTAAATAAATGGTATTAATTTGATATTTTGTAGAAGTGAAACCCTATGTAGTTAATGACAGACTATTTACTGAACCACTCAAGAAGAAATTAGATGATGATTTGAATGATTTAGAACATGAAGAAGATCAACCATCACAAGAACAACCAAGATATGTCAGGTATGTCCAGTATTCAGTAATGTTGGACTGAAGCTAGACATAGTGAGAGTTGTTGCTATTTCAAAACTGTTTGAAGAAGAAATATATTTGATCTAATTGCAGTAGCTGCATCAAGTTCGGTACTTTCGAACCTATGAAGCAGATATTGCTTGGTCAGTATTGTCTGCCAATTTTACTGTTTCCAATAATCAAATGTTTGTTACATTACAGAGTTAGTATACCCAGATCTACATTAGAGAAACCATATAAAGTAAAACCACACCGTAGAAATAGTTTTGATCCAACAGATTCTTGTTCACTCAGAGAGGTAGACTTGTTTTCATTTAGTTACATTCTGTCTTTAGCAAGTGCTGATTGTTGACAATATCTTAAAAGTTTTCAATGTTGGTTTGCAGATTTTTCAACCAGAATTGAGCGTTGTTTGTAAGCGATTGAAATAAGATAGGTGGACTTGGGTTTAATTTATTACCAACATTTTCTCACTTAGTTTCTCCATGTAACTCTTGTCAATAACAGCACAAAGATGTGATTTCAAGTCGTTTTGTTTTAAATTACTTTTAGCACTGTTTAATGGGATGGGAGAATTCAAGGGTATCAGCTTTACCAACAGCTTCTAGTATAGATATTAATGAAGCTACCAAAGGTTTAAAACCAAAGATGACCACAGTAAGTCAACAATTTGATTGGCTTCTGTAAATGTGAACTTTGCCATTTATTAACTCATGTGGAATTACCAGAATTAGAATTAGAAGCCATATGCCTAACACCTGTAAAATTTTCATCTTGGCTGTGTGTGTGTGTGACTGATTTCAACCCAGATTGCAAAATGCATGGAGTTGCCTCTTATATCCTTACGTCTTGTATAATAATAATAATATGAGAGCGCAACTCTCTCGACGGCTCTCTATAATGGTAACACATACATATACATCAATTCGTTTCAGAAAATTTATGCCCCACGGGTAGTCAAAAAAAAGTTGACAACTAGATCGCAGTTAATCGGGGTAGTTTCGGACTGAATATTCTGGAATTCTTTCAATAAATTATGACAATTGTTTCAAACACAGAAAGGGATTTTTGTACCAACCCTTACATTTTATTTTTATTTTTCCTGGATATTCTATGCGTCATAAGGAATAAAATGACAGCTTTGACCTAATTTCCCAAGACTTTCTCCCAAGCAATGATGGCGGCTTTGTTGACATCGTACGTCACGTTATAATGAAGTCATCGTTATAGATGATTACTTTCACACCTTAAAGAAGTTTCTCTAGATACTTTATAAAAGATTGTCTACAGAATTTCGTTTATTTGATTATTATTAATTATTGTTATTTTATCAATAACCTGCCCTCTCATTCAAGGCCATGCCTTCATTCATATTAATAATAACTTTATTTGGCATGTTTCATTTCATCAGTCTGAAATTGGAATGTTTTCATTATTACAGACTTTAGCTGAAGCAGAGCTGACAGCACGAACAGGAAGTACACAGATGTGGCCTTTTGTACCTCCACAGACGAGAGTTGATCCATTACCAACCTGGAGAAAACAGTATGAAGCTTCTGTAATGAACTGCTCACAAGCAACTTTGCCAAATTCTACAATTCCTGGAGATTCTGATTCTCGTAGACAATCAACAAATAGTTTACTAAATTCAACCTATTCCTTAATGTATGAAATGCAAAGATTGAAGAAAGAAAGGGAGAGCACTAAAGCTTAAAACAACGAATGTTTCTAGCAATTTGACGTCCATCAATGCTTTTGATTGCTATTCATTCCGTCATACGTTGATTTTATTGTAAATTTCAATTGTTCTGTATTAAAATAAATCCTATTAACTATGTCGTGAATCATGGTAGTTATATATGAGGGTATCATCTGATATCTTTAGTAGTAATTCTAACCTCTAACTCATTTAACGAGTTAGCGACCGTCCATTCCTTCCTCCTATTAAACCAATGGGTATTAAACTTTTAATCTATGGCTCATAGCTACAAACTGTTCTCGTCCAACCCCATTCGACAGGTAGACATGACACTGTCAAGTTGATGGAAAAGTGTCCACGTATACTATTGACCTTGTATCGATATGATGTCCATTGAGTGGTGGACGGACAATCTTGTTTGGTCTAACACCTAAAGCGAGTAACTTTCTCTTTGACCAAATCTGTGTTGTATGAAGCTCTCACCATCATGTGAGAGTAGATACTTCACTCTCAAGTTTTAGTGACGTCGGCTATTTATACTGGAGGTAATTAAGATACGTTCTAGCTAGCAAGGCGAATATTTCTCAAATAACATACTTTATAATATGGAAGATCAAATGTTTATATTTATTTTATTTACATCGTTCATTATATAACATTTACAACAAGTTATTGCATCGAACCGACCGTGATTGATTATACAAAAATAATATTAATTCACTTTAATCTAAAGCAAAATTTATAGTTATTATCAATTGAACCGAAGAGGTGTCTACAATATTTACGTTAATAGTCAAAAATCTCGGACACCATTCTAATTGCAGAAAACCTCAAACATAAACCCATATACATACAATAACAATCCGTAACAATAAAACAGAATATAAGAATAACAATAATATAACATTTAAAATAGATTGTGTCCATATAAAATTATGTTTTAATTTTGTTCCTTTAATCCCGTCTTGAAATTTTCTGAGCACATCAACATAACATTAACGCTTCACGTGGAATTACAATATCGATTTGAGCTCCAGTAGGTTCTGCAATATCTTTTCTTTAAGGTCAATGTATTTACTGACAAGATTTACCGACCATCGGGGTTTTTCTTCTTCTCATCCCCATCCTATACGAATGTATCATCGTGCTATGAATGGTTTATATGGTAGATATTTACTGTGCGAATCACAATCTTAAACAACAATTGACAAAGGATCAGTTCTAAGCACTATAAATAACAATCGATCTTTTCTTTACACTGTGTCAAACTAAAATATAGTAGAAAAGTTAAACGTTATAAAATCTACTATTTAAAATTCCATCAGCATTGATTTAGAGGCCTAATGTAACTACATGTATCTGATTATAACAGCCCTATCATTGGAACATATGTTAAAATTTATTGGTGGATCATCGAAGCTTGTCTAAAAGATTTACAAAGCTAATAACAAATTTTCTTTACACATGAAACAGGGTATCATCGATTACGTAGCAATAATTTTCATTCTTACGATTTTCATTGAATAATTTTTGCATTAATTATATTTTCAAAACATTTAATTTTCTTACGAACAATTTGCCATTTCTAAATGATAAGAACCACTATCACTATCATCATGGAGTCATAAAGAAGAAAAATTTAAAGAATTACTTACAGTTATCTTCTGTTATAAGGATGAGATCTTGAACTTAGGGGTGTGGATGTATAGAAGTCTTGAGAAGCTTCACATATTGGTCGGGCCATCATTACTCCAGTAACAGCACGATGTATGTTCGGCATAAACGATTCCCGATAATCTGGACTGTAAACCATTCGAGAGTATTGATCTTCAGCAGAAATTTTCTGCATATTATTCGGATACGTAAATGGATTGAAGAGTTCTGGTGAAGATCCGTAACCTTGGTCACGTAAGTGATCAAAATTGTGATAAGCTGGTATCCTAGATTCTCCGAGGGACGAGTCGGGTGTGGTACTATACGACGAGTAATTAGTACAATCATTACTTGGTGTATACAGACACGATGATGAAGTTTGATGTAATCCAATGGTAGCGTCGTGTTGTCGGATCATGTCACTTAGTGATGCTATGTAGTTCCTTGCCGTTGTCAATGTTTTTATTTTTGACATTTTCCGATTGTGAAGAAAGGTTTCGTTTGGAAGAACCCTTCTGAGAGCCTCAAGAGCACTGTTCAGTTTATCCATTCGATCACGTTCTTGAGAGTTGGCCAAAAGTCTCTTTCCGTCAGTTTCTTCTGGTGTCAAGATCTTCTTTGCCTTTCCTCGACGTCCTCTAATTTTGCCGGGAGCTTTCTTGTTCATGTAGCCAACTGAATCCTGATCTGAACTTGAATTGATGTAACTGTCATCTGAACCATTTGGTCGCCCATTTTTATTTGCTTTTTCGTCGAATTCAGAGAAACTCAAACAACTTTCGTCGCTCATCTTTGGATTCCTTTGAGTTAGTTCTGCAAAGTGGTTCTCAATGAAATGATGCTGTTTTAGTTGTAAAAGCGTTTAAATTGCGGACATCAATTAACATCAATTAGCAAAAGATAGGTACCAGCCAATCATAAGAATCATTTTGGCACGTGCTGGGATTTTAGGAGCTGTTTAGCGAAATCAGAAAACGGCGGGAAATCAAAGAAAGTAGGGGGTATTAACACAACCATCATATAGGCACGCGATTTTATAAATTAATGATACCTGAAACAATATCTTCTTGTTCCTCGAAAATAGTTACAGATTATTTATTGGTGCTATCCAGGGCTGATAACGAAAGCAAATGGTTTTTTATGTCAGATAAAAAAAAAATGCATCTTGATATTTTTCAAAAAATGCGATTAGAAAAAAATATTTGAATATTATTCATACGTTTTTACTTTTGACCATGAAGGAATTCCCTCTTAAGCAATCGTGGTGAATGGAAGGATGCTCCGAGTAATTCAGCCATCAAACGTTGGTCAGCCTTTGGTGGAAAATGCTATGCTGACAATAATGAACAATGATCGTTCCATATTCGAAGTGTATAAACAAAAATTGAACTATAATATATTATACCTTTCATCATGAATAGAGGTCGGTACTACAATCCATTAAAACTTGATAATATATGTTAATAATGATTATCAAAAAGTTGTGAATTAATAAAAGGCTAGAAGTTATCAATGAAAAGCATTGTTTGATACCACCTAATTGTTAATTGCTTTATTTCTTACTTTAATTACGTTTAAACTTAAATTATAGCACATAATTAGACTTGAACACAGTAATTAAACACATAAACTACAACACTTAATAGCGTGATTAATATTTTGTAGCGTGAATTTGTTCAAAATAATAATACAGGATACAAATTTCAACTATAACTGCATTATTGAATTTTTGTGGTTTCTTACATACGGATTAAGTTTTTGAATTTAAATAACGCACGACCAGAACTCAGTAATTAAACACAGTAATTTCCGAAATGCCGTTTGTGATTGTTTCAAATACACTAAATGACCATCCATCAATTTGCTCTATTTTGTCAAGCTGATCCAGAGACCCGACGAAAACCGCATGAAGAATGTTTTACTTCTTAGTCGATGTGTATCCTTTATCTATAGCCAGAAATTGACGAAGTAATAAAAACAAATTAAAATAGTATTCTCATAGATGTACCTGGATGTATAAATGTTAGCATTGGATTCGTTGGTATTATGCATGACTGAATTTTTATATGTACGTAGTCGTCTGAATAATATTTGCTTCCGAATTAGAATCCTTACCTCCGATAATAATATGGTAAAATTTATTTTGATTGCACTATCTGCAAGACAATAGGGTTCTTTAGGTAATTACTGATAAGCTTAGCTAAAAAAAGGGACTGAGACTACGATACGTTTGGTCATACGAATGACGAACTTGGACAAAGGCAGAATAAACAACGTGACCATCCTCTTCACGCTATTATTATCGAACAGAAAATAAATAAGGTCACGATTGCATAATATCATAACAAAAATTCGGTTTCATTTGTTGGAGGAAGAGCTCCCTTTTAGTTTAGTACTTGTGGTAAAAACTAGTCTATCTGTATGTCCAATTCTATTAAAGTCTTACATATAAATCTATGACATCATTCAATTTCTGTTCAAATGATTTTGAAGTCTTTACCTACGGATTAAGATAATTTGAAACACCATGAAAAAGAAAGTTAAAATGTCCGTGAAGTTTTAGGGGTTTGAATCTGAAGATAACACAGTAGGACTAACAAGGTTATTGTTCACGTTACAGATCTACCAGTATAACTTATTAACCACATATACATGACGTCACGTGATTAACAGGTAGTATCCATATCCACATGACGTCACCCTTCGTGCCACTTTCGCACTATGATATCATATTAACGAGAGTTTGACCGTGTATTATATTGTTCCTAAATTTCCTATTTATGATATCAGAACATTGACCGACACCTTGGCTAAAAAGTGTCAATCATAATAGTTTCAAAATAAAATGTCCGACTCCATTTTTCTTATTTAAGTTTAAGAGTTATTTACGTAAGCGTAAGGTATATGACAAAATATTTTATTCTATTATAGGCTATCTATATATCATGACCCCAGGACGCTTCCGTAAGAGCGCTGTTCATTTCATATCAATAAATACAAATTTAGTTCCAATCAAGATATCTTGAAATTCAAATCTTATTTTCGCAATGATACTGTAAATTATGATAATAGAATAAAATAATTTTTTATTTATCATGACCACAGGACACTTCCGTGGCTATTTCATGAAAGATTTGTAATTCTATTTAAGTCAAGTTCTTTCACATCTCAATTTTTCTTATTTTCAGGATGAAAATCCGACGTAGAATATTCGAGTCATAAAGTCGAATCTTTTATTCAAAGATAGCTTGCCAGACAGCTTTGATTTTGAATAAAAATATTTAGCAGTACAGTAACAATCACCAGTATGAAATATTCAACCTTCAGTCATACACTTCTTTTGAACTCTTCAGGGCGATACTGAATAATATTGAGTATGAGTTATTGCCCTTGAAAACGTGTTCAATTTTTAGCTTGTGCAAACTTTAGAAGGCAAATATTCAATCTTCAGCGCGGGACTGAATAATAAAACCGAGTTTTGTCCAAATCCAGCAAGAATCATGCCTTTTAGTGTTTAAGTGCTAAATTTGAAAGCGTTTTCGAGATCAAGGGCAGTAACTCATACTAAATATTTTTCAATTCTTCTGATTTTCAATAGGGTTCATCCTTGGGTAATTACGACCATTCACACCAAGTTTCATCAAAATCCGTCAAGAATTGTGCCTTCTAGAGTGATTACGAGCTAAAAATTCATACTAAATATTTTTTTATTTCTCTGATTTTCAATAGGATTTATCCTTGGGTGATAACAAACACTCAAGCCAAATTTCGTTAAAATCCGTCAAGAATTGTGCCTTCTAGAGTGTTTACAAGCTAAAAATTGAACGCGTTTTCAAGAACAAGGGCAATAACTCATACTAAATATTTTGCGATTCTTCTGATTTTCAATAGGGTTCATCCTTGGGTGATTACGAACACTTAAACCAAGTTTCATTAAAATCCATCAAGAATTGTCCCTTCTAGAGTGTTAACGAGCAAAAAATTGAACGCGTTTTCAAGAACAAGGGCAATAACTAAATATTTTTCGATTCTTCTGACTTTCAATAGGGTTCATCCTTGGGTGATCACGAACTCTCATACCAAGTTTTATAAAAAATTCGTCAAGAATTGTGTCTTGTAGAGTGTTTACGAGCAATTGTGGACGGACGGACATGGGTGACAGCAATATACGCCCCCTCCCCCCATTTCATGTGGGCGTATAAAAAGTGTAAATTAAACAATGAAAATTCGACGCCTCAATATATTCTTTATTTCATTTATTTATTTTTTTGCTTGAAGAACGATTAAGAACGTAATTAACGATAGGCAGGAGAACTAGCTGATGTTATCTACAAAATAACAGGTAATACCCATATGACGTCATTGCAAATGTCACTTTTAACCCTTTACTCATACTAACGAGATTTTAACCCTCTGTAGATACTGGTCTTTTTTGAAATTTATTGTACCTGTACGTGGCCAACACATTGGCGAAGAAAGTGTCACCTATTATGGCTTATAAAGAATAGTGTTGTATTATATTTTGAGTACAATTTGCAAAATCTAACCCGATTGTCAAACAAGCTGTCCTGATAATAGAACTACCAATTAGAAAATTATATTATTCACTCTTCTGAATAACCTGCGATGGAGTTTGGCACCCCTTTCCCAGAGTTCGCATAGCTAATATTGCTCTAATATTCATAAAATGTATATAATCATGACAAAAGTACAATATACATATAGATGAGTAAGTCATGAATAATTATAAATGATTCACTTAATAAATTTATTTATTCTCAATTTACCATTGATATTACATAAATACAAAAATAATGGCTCAGTCAAAAATATAACTATCTGTAGAAATTTACAAAAAATAATTAAATCTATTATAAAAATATGTTGACTATTTCCCTTTACCAGTCTGTTATCAATTTTACAGCTCGAATTCGTGCCATAAATTTTTTGTTAATAAATGCACGATCAGGTTCTGGAATAAAAAGTTCAACACTGAGGTTATCAGTTTAAATGCATATAAAGTATTTTTATAGTAAAATCTCGCTGTGTGTAGTATGATAATATGATAATGGTTCCCCTTATCTGTGAAATGTTCTGATGGAACAATAACCCAGACAATCTGCTTTGCGCAAGAAAAGGATTTTTAGACTAAAGAATATCCTGGCAATATATTTCAAATTGTATACAACCTGTTCGTCTTCAGTAGAATTGAACTAGAAGCCAAAATGGGTTTGCACCATTTAGCCGATATTCACTTACGTTATGTACATTAATATTTGTAGAGTCAAAACCTCTGGTACTAAATCCTTCGTGTCATTGAAATACCCCATTCATACCATAACACTAATTAAATTAGACTAAACTTTCGTTCAGTTTTTCTTAGCTTTTATTTTTAATTAGAAATTATGCACGGATTTCGTGAGACTGTTAATTACGGATAAATTGAATAGTGACGTGCGTTAATAATAAAATCATAAAGCATTCAAACACCAGTTTCCGTTTAAAAGAAGTATATCAACGACACAGTTCGTTATCTAAAAATAAAATACGTACTTGAATACCAGCATTATAAGATTGTCTACGTTGTTGATATTGTCGGGTATATCGAACTCTTTTCTTACATTCACAATGAGTGCAGCCATTAAGATCTTTCACGTAACCATTAACACAGAACAGATCACATCCTGCTAGTCGTGGACATCTACCTCTTGATCCTTTGAGAATATAAAATAAGCATCAAAACTTATTAATTCTAAAGGTATTATTGAAACGGGTACAATATTCCCGTCCCACACCACTAAAGAGGGTTTCGTTAGACTTGTATTACAACTTAATTAAGATTATTTTTGCTAATGTTTGAGATAAAAGGACAATTTTTTGGAATAACAAATGTTTTTAATAGTAAGGGACCCACAATCTCTGATAGAGTGTATTTGCCTTCTCAAATGAATTCAAACTAAAATTCTCTTCAATTAATGTCCTTCAAGCCGTTCATAACTAATGAAATGCGATTTTTCATGATATTAGTCTGAATTGAATGTAAACAAACAAAATTTTTTATAGATTTTTGATAAACCTATATTTTATTATAATATTTTTTAATTACGATATTTGTTGCATTGATAATCCATATAATAAGAACGATGAACAATATTTCCCTTAATGTGTATTGTTACAAACGCCGCAATATGGACATTGACGTACCTTCTGACCCCCGGGCCACTCTATGTTCATTTTGGTAGTTCTTAAACTGGATCTAATAGAGAAAAATAAACATAATAAACTATTGAAGTTTGAAAGTTTTGTACATTGACCAAGCTACAGCTATCATCTCTTCTTACATAGAAGACAATTCAGAGGTTACAGAAAGTGAATGAGGAATAGATAAAGTAAACGAGGAAATACATATAAAAAAAAGTAATTTACAGACCTTTGATTCAGATTTCTGGCATCGACAAGTCTGACAACCATTCCAATCTTTAACATATAGATTATGTGGACAGTAATTAGGACAATAGACTTGTTTACATCTCTCTAAACCAAATACTAAACCTTTAAAACAGACAAAATAACTGTTTTGTTAAAGTAAATTCTTTGATTCTCATAGCAATGAGGTCAGTACTTTGAACTATATTTAGGAATTTAATATTTATTAGTTGAAAGATAGCGCACATACATCCTAAACAAACCTATCAGTTAGTGCATGAAAAGTAAGAATGGTTTTGAAGAGAATGTCTTACTCTTTCTGTGCCGAAACTCCAAAGGCAGGATTTGTAACAAACGTCGGTGATATAAAGGAAAATATTTATCTTAATATTATAATTCTATATTGGAAATGAAATAAAATATATGGATACCATATTAATGCTTACCTCTGTTGCACTGACAAGTTCTACAACCTCTACCATCATACATAAAGCCAGATGAACAATACTGGTGACACTGTACTCTTGGACATTTCACTACAAATATTACAAAACGTCACATATGAAGACCAATGTGGATGATGACTATGGTGACACAAGACCATACGAGCATTTATATATAATGGCTTGAATATTTTTTCGACCAATAACGATAAGTCAAAAGTAGTCAAAGTCCAATGCCACTGGCGAAAATGCGAATATACAGAAGTGATATAAGTCCAGTGTGTTCTCCCCAGGATGAACATGCTCGAACAAATCATTTGATTGATCGAAAACTGAATGAACTAAAGAAATGAATGCTTAACAATTTCTTCAGTTTAAAGATAGCATATTGAGTCAGAAAAAAAACCACGAAATGAATCATCCAGGTTTGTATTTTAATCAGATTGCGCAAACTTAATAAGTTAATAAGCTTGTTAATATGGAGTTGAATTCCGACTAATTACCTGCTTTATTATGCTTTAAGGGAATTGTGGGTTCGATTGTGTTTAATAATCCATTATTGGACTCCCTTGTTCTACACTGGCAAGTGACACAACCAAATCTATTAGAAGCGTAACCATTGACACAAAATAAGTCACAACCAACCAACTGCTTACATTTTAGACCTGTAAAGAGACCAAATGAATCTCGGTTATTTTATTCTATTTTTTACTGAATAAACAAATGTGATATAACGCCGTCGAAGTTTAAACAGGGGCAATCAACAAAAGATTTCCTTCACCACCTGAGCCCACATAATTCTAGCTATTCGTATGACAAATCCGAATTAAATCCTGACGCATATAGTTCAAGAATGAACGCATTGAAGTTCACCTTAAAAAAAACGTTCAATGTAAGGTGTTACAGAAGGTGCACTCATAGAAGCACTGGCCACAAGGTCACAAGAATTGAACATCAATTATCAATTTAAGTAATCAAAATTAAATTGAAATAGTACTATAAATGTTCTGCGCTGCGTCCAAAGAGAAATGTAAATTCTGGAAAGACTAAAATAATATATTGCTTGCAAATAATCAAAAAATTGTTTAAAACACATAATGCAATAGCTTCTGAGAATTAATGGACTGGGGTCTAATTTGCCATGAACAAGTAAATTACTTAGATATTGTTTGTCTTAAAAGCAGTAACCAAACGTTTAGTGAAAATATTCGGAAATTGATCTTGAAGTTCCGTGTAATATCGTTTGACAATCAGGGAAGCAATTTTGACAGTTGAATTATAGGTTGGAACAAAGGGTATCATTTGATTGCCATGCTGGATATTTGATCACTATAGGTACAATGATTTGCAATTGATCGATCCACAAACTCTTTATCTGCAATCGCTTGGTTTGGTAATAAAGGGACTTTTTCAAGGAACATGGCAAGAATATCTTCAATTCACGATTGGTCTGTCTTTCAAATGAAGTATATTGAAACCATGACCGCTAAGACGAGTACACAACGCATTTTGAGTTTCACCAACATATTGAACATAGCATTCTTTACAAGAAATTATGTAAATTACATTTTTATCTAAAAAAGAAAGAACGGAAGGGATGGGGAGTTGGGAGATGGGCATTTTGTTTTTAAATCTCTAAAATAGTGTCGTTTTTAACTTTGCGCAAAAAACCTTCTGAATAACCCCTTTCTCTCCTTTTACTAAAACCCAGTTCACATGCCGAATCAAAATCAATCTTTCTAGTGCATATTCTGTTAAATATTAGAATGTGCGATTTAATTACAAAACAAGTTGGTGTGTGTGGTCCTTTGAATACAGTCGTATCCAGAAAATTCATACTATTTTCAGAAGTATTTGCAGTTAGCTTGACGGAAGGATGGTGATTATTCAAGGTTCCGAAATATTCCCAAAAGTTTGCCAAAGTTTTTGTCCAAATGATGCATATTTCATCTAAGAATCTTACATAAAAGAAAGGTTTTGTGTATAGTTGAACTGTTGGCAAAGCAAATATTAAATTTTAATTCTACAAGGGGATGCACATTAAAAATTTAGCTTTGTCTTTAGCCGACTATATTCCTTCATCGCTGTCAAAAAATTTGGTTTACTATACTATCACTAAATCATCACGGGGCGTGTTTAAGGTCAGCTTTCTCAACGTGAAGGAACATATCTTATTATGCATTGTTATTCGTTTCTTATCATAAATGTTGTCATAAACATTATGGAATGTTGCATCATTCCAGCAGTGAAAGTGTCAATGCGCAGTCAGTTGAAAATAAAATAGAAGAAGACTAACCTTTGTTTTGTTTATCTCCGTCAAGATGAAAGAATATTAAAGGTTTAACCTGAAAAGTTCAAAATAAAAAATAACATAGTAATTACAAAACCCGATCTGAAGATAGCACAAAGAAAGTTTTGAGGTGGGGTGGGGCGCTACTAACATATGTAATTATTTAGATGGTGGTAGATTTACCAGTCGACCACAAGTCTCGGTTTTCTGCGGATTGAATCAAATAGCAATAACGATCGATCAAACTCGCTCAGACACCACCAGTTCCATTCTGTAGTCGATGAAAATCTCAAATTCCAGTCAAGGTTCCCTACATAGCATCAAACAACCCCTCCCCCCTCCCCCCCCTCTCTCCGCTACCATTTGAATTGACTAAAACATACCGAATATCTGCAGTTATATACAAAGATAGCTTGCCGGCCAAGGTAATATACGCCCACTGGCAGCTTTGATTTTGAATAAAGTATGAAATATTCAACCTTCAGTCATACACTTCTTTTGAACTCTTTAGGGCGATAACGAATAATATTGAGTATGAGTTATTGCCCTTGTTCTTGAAAACGTGTTCAATTTTTAGCTCGTGAAAACTCAAGAAGGCAAATATTTAACCTTCACCGCGGTATTGAATAATGAAACCAAGTTTTTTTAAAATCCGACAAGAATCATGCCTTCTAGAGTTTAAGAGCTAAGATTTGAAAGCGTTTTCAAGAAAGAGGTCAATAACTCTTAAGAAACATTTTTCGATTTTTCTGATTTTCAATTGGGTTTATCCTTGGGTGATAACAAACACTCATACCAAATTTTGTCAAAATCCGTCAAGAATTGTGCCTTCTAGAGTGTTTACGAGCTAAAAATTGAACGCGTTATCAAGAACAATGGCATTAACTCATACTAAATATTTTTCGATTTTTCTTATTTTCGATAGGGTTCATTCGTTAGTGATAACGAACACTACAACCAAGTTTCGTCAAATTTCATCAAGAAATGTGCCTTCGAGAGTGATTTTCAATAAGGTTTATGCTTTGGCGGTAACAAACATTCATGCCAAGTTTCGTCAAAATCCCTCAAGAATTGTACCTTGTAGAGTGTTTACGAGCAATTGTGGACGGACCGACGGACGGACGGACATGAGTGACAGCAATATACGCCCCCCATTTCATGTGGTCGTATAAAAAGTGGATATCTTCACTGCTGTGAGTCAGAATTTATAGCTCTTTATTTGCGTCGGTTATGTACAGGATGAGGTCCGATATTGTAAGCCTAGGATTTTACCTTTGTTTCTGTTTTTGCCTGTTTACAAAGACAGGTTCCACACCCGAATTCGTCTTTTTTGTATAAATCATAAGGACATTTATTTGGACAATAAACATTTTGACATCTTTCTATACCAAACAGAATACCTGAAAAGAAACGAGAGTCAAACACATTATCCTAAATGGAGAGCATGAAAAAAAATCACATATATACAGTTAGCAAAGTTAACTTCAAATTGAAATCCACGAACCATCAACCGATAAAAGCCAAGGGACATGATATGAGGCCAATATTTATTTCGAATTGTACATGGATAGATGATGTTTAATGTTTCAATCTTTGAAATACTAGGTGTTTATGTTTATTGTACATTCCATTTAAAACACAGACTTTTAGTCCACTTGTTTGAAAAATAATTCTCCCTTCATTGCAACTATAGACATGACCTTTTTTAACTTACCTTTGTTGCATTCACAAGTTCGACATCCTATTTGATCATAAACATATCCATTTGGACACAAGTTGTTACATTTTGGAGGCCCACAGCCATCTACAATAATGAGAAATGACTATTTATTTAAATTGTTCTAATTGGTAGACGAAGAAATAGAAAGAAAACGTAGTCAGCCATATAGATTACAGGCGAATGTTTTTCTGTAAGAAAATTTGTAATGTCTTACCACTTGTGTAAACAGCAACAACCACTAATAATAAAATAACATTGACATTTAGCATTTTGGTTCAAGTGCATGTAAATTGAACCTATACACACTCGGATACAATGATTAGTGGTCGAATATCTTGTAAAATAAATTGATGTATGAGATGAAGTTGTCTTATATTGGACGATTAGTATGATTGTATAATCACTGTTATTATTGTCACATCTATCACAATGATAATATGATGGATTTAGATGTTTCAACTAAAAACGTGTGACTAAAACAACCCAGACTTCACTCCTCTTCTAATGTTTTAAACAATTAGATTCCTCATTGATAATAGTATTTCAAGACATGGATATAGAATAGAAAGTTTGGGGTCGGTAGAAAAATACAAATAAGGTTAATGTGTTAAAATGGAAATTCGTACTCAATAACCGTCCTTTAAAGTTTTAAAACGCCGTCTTCAATTTTATAAACCGTTTGTGTGTATGTCGATATAGGAATTTCAACTGATGAAATGACAGCTTACATTTTGAGACCTTGCAAAAACATTTAAACAATTACTTTTTGTATTTGTCTTGATCAATTTACTAAAGTATCAGGACTTAAGTCATGTTACTAAGATAGCAATAATGGAAAATATAGATATCATTTCGGAAATACATAACCTAATCGAGAAGATCTCGATTAAGAGAAAATTATTGACCCAATAAAAGAGGGTCACATGGGTTACCTGACTCCATGGATTTAAAAAAAAGTATTCAGGTGCTTATGTATATGTGGTCGTGGATATGTCAGCAGAATATAGCATATTTCAAGTATGAAATTCCACAATACTTCTGACATAGACCTATAGACCAAAGGATCCCGGAAGGCCTACACAATTCTAGAAAAGCCTAATTAAAATAAACGGTCGTGAAAAAAAGAATGAAAATGAGAGAAAACATTCATTTAACAGTATTAGTAGATTTCATTTCAGGGGTACAAGTTTATAAAAAAATAGTTTGCAATACAATTTATTGATTTAATATGATTTATGTACAGAGATCAATATTTGGCAGCGCTGTCTTAAGTTTGAGTGCGAGAGCTGAGTGCGTGGGAAAGTTGCATGTTAGTCTAGACGTGTAAAAACTTGTTAACTGCGGTGAAAATGAATCGACATCATAACATGGATTATGATTGTCACATCTTGATACACTTATTATTTTATAGATTAGGGTGGTTGAAAGGTAACAAGTTAGTATCCAACAGAAGGCACTGTAAGAGGCTTTAAGTAATGTTCACGAATGTTAAGATTAATGTGTTAAAATGGAAATTCGTTCTTTAATGTTTGAAAACGTCGTCTTCAATTATAAACCGATGAACGATTAAAAGTTTAGCGCTAATTTACATTGTATTAATAAGGGAATAAGTTGATGACAAAACGTAAACGTATGTTGGTATTTTTACGACATATTTTATTTGTATACTGTATAAGTGACATGTTTAGTTGCTATTTTTTACTGAAAAAAGTAACATAGCTAAAAATGAAGTTGAAAATTTTGAGCAACAGAGATCATTAATGGAAAATTATTATACCAATAAATATAAAGATATCATTTTTATTGAATGTCTTCCGTGCGAGGTGATCACTCTACGCCCACACCGCAGAAAAATTGCATGGCAGCTTTCATCTTTACATAAAGCATCTTCAATGAACACAGCTATAACATACGCTCACTACCCACTGTCGGGAATGATAGCAACGTCTTAAATAGTGACTTAAATACGAATTTTCTCATAATCTTATGATATTTTATCAAGTCAAGACAATATCTAAAAAACGGTTTATCATCAAATTCAAACATGATCAAGGTCTCAACAATATACACATTTGTTTCAATTTTCATCATACATAAATACATTAGCCTCAATGATAATTAGGTTACTTTTATAGTCAAGATCGGGGTTACGACAAATATATACGTCCACATCAGAATTTGATGGTATAAAAATCGTAAATTTTTGCTCCCAGAAATAAAATCAAGAAAGCTTAATGACACTTTTGTTTATCTTGAATACATTTTACAACTGTGTTGTTTATAATCATTGTTTATCTGAAACATGTTATAGTGTGATATTTTCTATGTTGACGAGCAACGTTTCAATCTACAAAACTCACTTTATTTGATTGTTTTCGAATCCGTTTATCGTAGTTCCTAACTGAATAACATTTTAGTTTTGTAACGCCATGACACAATAATAACGTGATTTTCATAATTAAAACAACCTAAACCATATAATTTATATAACTGCAAACAGTACTGTTTCGGCCTTCTGGTCCTTATCAGTGCCATGCTGATACTGGAATTGAGGTTTGGCTATATACACGCTAACGACAATGGTACACTCCAGATATAAAACATAATATATATATATATGTCAATAAATTAAATACTAAATAATATTATATATAATAAAGACCAATGACAAAGGTAGAGATTAAGCTGTTGTATCTCCTTTATTACTACTTATTGTAGGTCTACACTGTAATTTACAGAAAAGAATTTAATCATGAATTGAACAGGAAGTGACTTAATTACTTTAAAACCTAATATATTATTGATTGGTCTATAATATATAGTCTACGCATATCAATAGCTTCTGCAAAACTTAAATAATGCCATTGGTAAATAGTTTACGCTGTTGTATATGGTTGTTTACGGTATTTAGTCACTAAGTATTTCACAATCATGTCCAATAATAGAGAGAGATATCATTTTCCGTGCTCTATCATGGTCACGTGTGAATAATATATCATACGAGTAATGCAATAGACAGCATTTACCTTTTACATTTAATGTTTTAATTTTCATTTATTACTTTTCACTATAAGGCACTATAACTTTATGATATTGAGATAAACATGGCGGAAAGTAAATTTGATGGGTAAGTTGATAGATTCAATGTGGCAGTGACTATTTACCACGTTCGTGGTCCTATTTTTTGACTACACTGAGCTCAGAATTGTTTTATCTCATTTCACTAATTTTTAAAATCAAATTATCAATTGCATGCAACGTGTCTTAGAAGTGTCGTATCTTGATCCAATTTTATCGGTTTCCAGGCATCTGAACGGAATGAATCTCCAGAATAGAAAAAATTGTTTGATACTATAGACAACACTGTACTTATATTATAACTTTCGATATTTATATTTCAGACAGAAAATTCGAGAAGAACTAACAGAAAGGGGAGTGTGTGTCGTCTCAGGTGTAGTAGATGAGAAAGAATGCGATGAACTAATGGATTCGTTTAAACGATGGTTGAAACAATTCAAAGCCGAGGATTGGCCTTATCATATGCATTCAGTTATACAACAATATTACATTGGTCATTTTCAATCTACATGGACAGCTCGACTGAAAACCAAAGAAGTTTTTAAAGAAGTTTGGCAAACTGATAAATTACTAACAAGTATTGATGGTGTTGCTATTTCACCCCCTCCAGAGCTGGGAGGATTTTCATTTGCTGTTGCCGACAGTCACTGGTTCCATGTTGATCAGGGTGCAACCAGACAAGGACGGCATGCTTATCAGGGTGCTTTATATCTAGAGGAAACAACAGAAACAGATTACGTATTTCGCGTTTTAGAAGGATCTCACAAATGGCACAAAAAGTTCTACGAAACCTTTCCAGAAGTTGCCAGGAAGGCCTCAAAATATGATTTTTATAAACTAACCCCAGAACAGTTTCAATGGTATCAAGACAGGGGATGCGTTCAACGCCGAATTCCGGTTCCGAAAGGAGGAATGGTTTTGTGGGACTCCAGAACTATTCACGATAATAATCGGCCTGAATTCGGACGAGCGAACTCCGATAGGTGGCGATTTGTAGTCTTTTCCTGCATGACCCCTGCCGTGTGGGCTAAACCGGCAGACATCAGTGCCAAGCAAAAAGCTTATAAAGAAATGTTGATGACCGCACATTGGCCTTCACAAAATGTTAATTACTTCGACGATTTTATACCTTCACATGATAGTAAAATCCGTACGATAACCTCACTACCAGATATTGCAAAATCAGAAGAAGTCAAACTGTTGTGTGGTGTCCTGGATTATGATTTCGAAGATGGTAAACCAAATGGTCCAGAAGAACCAAAATGGATCTATCTCGATCAATTTAGACTGGTAAATTGTGAAGACGACACTGAAGATTATCCTACTGATGGTTCTGTCCCTGCATGGCAAAAGAAAAATAAATACTGATATCTAGGGAGCATATACAAATCCTGTACTTATCTTTGTTTTTCAAATACATGTAGATTTCAGCTATATAGTTCAGTAAAGACATTATAACCATCATGGATTACTCGGCTTTGGTTTGTAATAATATAGGCATATTTTGTGTAAGACGGTGATGAGAACAGTCTCATGAAAGCACTGGCCTAGGTCGCAAAGTAAAGATTAATGATAAAACAAGATGCAAGTCAAAAGTTAAGATAATTTGATACGTTAACTAAGGATGTCTCTGTAATTATGGAAGCCGGCTGCGGCCATATTACCCGACAAAACGAGGAAAAAGGCGAGAAAGCGAGGAAAAAGGCGAGGAAAAGGCGAGAAAGCCTTTCTCGACTTCTCGCCTTTTTTACTCTTGCTTTCTCGCCTTTTTTACTCTCGCTTTCTCGTCTTTTTCCTCGACTTTTTTTTACCCTCGCTTTCTCGCCTTTTTTTTACCCTTGCTTTCTCGCCTTTTCCTCGCCTTTTCTCCGCTTTCTCGCCTTTTTCCTCGCTTTCTCGCCTTTTTCGTCGATTTCTCGTTTTTTTCCTCGCCTTTTTCCATTCATCTTTATCAGTGCATATTTTTTTTTCAAATTGTTAATTTAATTGAATTAATGAAATATTCAAAAAAAAAAAACCATACGAAATTTATTTTGAAAGAATGTTAATCAGAAATAACACATATTCCGAGTTTTGCTGTTGTTTCATGCATACGGTATTTTGCATTTTGTATTTAAAATCGGTACCCAGGTCGGTCGGTCCGTTCACATTATTGGTAATCGAATGAGAATCTAGCATTAAGTCGATTTTTTTTATTAAAGAATAAAAATTGTATACAATATGTATATATGTTTACGAAATGGGATGGACAACAAACAAATGCGTCTCCTTTTCTATTTTGTAATATAACTATGGTCCTTGGATTCGATTTATCAATGAAATAAGTATTCATTTATAATGAAATAATGAATATGCCTATCAACTGACGTATTATGCCATATTAAACAGGATCTTGAATTTAGTTTTCAACCAATTATAAATCTTAGGGAGTATACTAGGTTGTAATTTGGTACTAATGACAAAGTTACGAAAGCATAGGCACAGGACTTATAACTTAGTGTGTAATTTGAAAGGAAAGAGTATTTATAGTGTTATCGAATATCTTCACTATTCTTCTATTAAAAATAGCCTATCAAACATAAAAACTTTTGAAAAACCGGACCTGGACACATTGTTAAAAAACCTGTTATATATTAGGGCTTAAATATGTACTAATAAAACTCGGTTTTCTTTTTTATGTTCTTTGTAACAAGATACATGTGTAAAAATATTTTTACAAAAATTCGATTTTTAGTTTTCAGGTTGATATGATATTCACTCAACGGTGGCATTTTGTAGGTAAAAGAATGTTTTTTTTTGGTCAAATTTGTGACAAAAAGATATACCAAAATCTAGAAAAATGTGTTCCTGAATAATGATATATGAAAGTTTTAACTTAACAAAATCCAGCCGTTGAACGCCAAAACTATTTTATAAGCCTATGACGTAGGCCTAGGCTACACATTACATAAACTTTGTAAGTTTGTATTGTTTTTATTAATTGCAAGAAAACTACTGTACGTATTTAAGCAAATTAAACGCTTTATTTTACACACAAATATATGTCGCCTAATTTTTCTGAAGGTTCCAACTAAAATTATTGAGCCATTAAAAAGACAAACGTCAAAACTAGGTCAAACTAATAAATTAACGATCCATTTGTTAATGAACGTATTGAAATCAAATTCAGTTTGAACCAATAGATAGATATTAATAGCGAGGAAAAAGACGAGGAAAAGGCGAGAAAGCGTGGAAAAGGGTGAAAAAGCGAGGACAATTTTCCTCGCTTTCTTGCCTTTTTCCTCGTCTGTTTTTTACCCTCGCTTTCTTGTGGGCGAAAAGTCGAGTTGTATATCAATCTCATTATCCAGATTGTTCACCTTACTAACAGAATACTGGCAATAAGTTTGTACCAACAAGAAATATAAAGAATTCTTCAAGAAATAAGGGTATTTGTCCTCTTATTTGTGCACTTAACAATGCCATAACCAGAGATTTCACTTTACCCCTGACCCAAGTTAACAACTATTATGCTCGGGATAATTGAAGTTTAAAAAAAAGCAAAACAATCACACAAAACAAATTTTATAAAGGCTTCATTTTATTGGGCATTAAACAAAAAGGTAGTCCTTTTATAGTAACATTAAATTGTTATTTACTATTTTCAAAAGATTGGATTATAAAAATGTATTTTGTATCACAGAAATTCAACAATACAATACAACAGTAGGCTAATGAAAAAACAAGGACTACATTCAATATAGAAAAAATTAGCATGTTTCTGAGACCATAACTAAAGGTGAGGGCACATGAACGGTCTTGGTCTGAGATTTTTGTCATCGACTAGAGTCTTGTCAAGAGTTCATCAACTGGCACAGGCATACGAGGAGACAAATATCTCCAGTTGGTCGTTTTCTACCATGTTGATTATCATTGAGGAGCATGCCATTGAAAGGAATTTGTAGGGGACATGATTCTAAATTTTAACGGCAACACAAATTTCTGGTCAAGACTGCTTGTGTGCCCGCATCATAACATGCATTAGTTCTGAATAAAGACTATTGATTGATCCATTTCTTTTTTTGACCATTTAATATACATGCACGGAAATAAAAAAATTTGATCGGTTGCAGAATAGCTAATCAACAGAGTTCACTCTAGATTTGAATTCCTTATCATCCTGAAATCTAATTGAAAAAGATAGAGTAAGACAGTCAACAGGTATTGATAAATGTATCATTTGACAACATGTAGAATTTTATGATTGAATTATTAATCATCTCATAATAAGAGGAATTTTATGTTATACTGATAAACTTATGACTTACTCACATTCACCCCCATATATATATATAAATATGAATATGTAGCATTGAATATCTGTAAGATATCCTTATTACAGGTCATAGATTTGCATTGTCAGTGCAACATTAGTCTTATGGTCAACCTTTCACAAAACATAAGACTAAAATAGTTCAACAAATATCAACTTGAATCATTTACGTCCTTTAGTTGATTTTCTTTTTAAAATTGTGACACATCCAATCAAGTTTAGTGGTCCATGAAACACCATAAGCACTACGAAACTGGGTATGAAAATACTTGATTGCAGCTTGGTCATCTTTCTCCACAGCCAGTGTTTTCCGTACGTAACCAATATCATCTAGAGATTGTAATTCTGGTATACCACATGATAACATTAAGGTAAACAATGTTATTATTAAATGGGAATGCTTTCTCAATATCATGTAAGCTGATGAACATAATTCTTGAAAGCTGAAGTGAAAATTGAGATATATATGAGGTACTTGGCAAGAAAAGAAATGTACAATGATGATTCAAAAGTGAAGATTAAGAGTAGCTACATAATTTCACTTTCAAGTTAATTAAACATTCACTTCATAAATGACAATAAAATCAGCATTAGAATTACCATACACTATCATGAAATAAATATGAAAGATACACTGCTAAATATTTGAGTTCAGAAAAAAAGGTTTTCAAAGTTATACACATTGCCAGTTAACCCATCTTATATTTATGTGAAGCATTTCCCAGATCTGTACCTACTTGACATATTCTTTTTGTTTTATAGGTTGATCAACACCTTTAGCTATAACTCTGATAAAATCTTCAGTTAAAACAAATGGTACACGTTCTCTATTGATACCAAATTTCTTCTTTTTATGATCCAGAAAATGACCAAAATCAATGTGAAAAACCTGCAATACAGATCCACAATATGCAGAATAATTCCAGTCATGCTCATACAACCACAAGTTATTACATTTACATTTCCGTTTTGGGGTTTTTTCTTCAAAAAGAGATATGACCTGGAAACATGGTAATTTGTATTCATGTTCTTTGATGTTAGTAGATGTTTTATGTTTTTTGTTAATCCTGTTTTATTTCAATTGAACATCATCTATATGCTATACATGTAGATCCCCTTGTTTTGAAAGTTAAAGACAATAAATAATTACTCTGCCATCTTCTGTGACCATGATATTTTCTGGATGTCTATCACCAATACCTAATACAAAGGTAGCTACACAATAACCAGCACAGGATTTAGTAAAAGCATCAATAGCTTGTTCATATCTACAACAAAAATAGATTACAAGATATTGTATTTGAAGATATCATAGGAAACATGATTCAGCCCAATTTATACTGTAAATGTAATCAATTTCCTTTAATTATTATATTATTATAATTTTGTATAATATTTCACATAATTAAACATATGTACCTGTCAGAATTTCTTTCTTTAATCCAGCGATGAAGTTGTGAGGAATCCATCTGCATGGCAGCTATGGTTCCTCGTACATTTTGTATGGATGTAATAGTTTTTGAGTTTCTGACACCTTCAATTAACCCTACATCTTTACCGGTGGCCATACAACCATATGGTATCATTCTACAACAGTACAAAAGATTTTTGGTAAAGGATAAGTACTTTCAGTGGTAAAACGTCTTGAGTAATATGATTACTAAACTGACATCAACCAAAAGCTCAGAGCTGTCCTGGGTTTTATGATAAAAAAAAAATACCTTAGATCTAAACCTTCAGCTTTCCATATAGAATCCATTAATCTGATCACTTGTAAAGTTAACATATCTTGTCTTAAATCTACAAATAAACCTATATGTTGTACAATCTACAATACTACAACTTATTGATCTTGATTGATAAACATTTAATTTGTATTTTAATAGAATTTTATTGCCATTTTCCGAGAAATATCAGCAAACTCAGAGAAAATCTACTAAGAACTACTATCATGTACATGATGTAAATAAACATGTGTGAACATATAATAATATTGGAGGGGATAGTATCTTTAGTACATACCATCTCCATTTTTAAACATTAGTAGAAAATCATTATCAGCAATATCCGCCATAGGGTCAGGGTTACTCCAAACCAACCATAATGGTCTCTTCTTAGATGTTTTTACTTGACAGAAATCTTTTCTACAATGATTAAGATTGTGAATATGACAAAATATGCCAATTTCAAATGCTTTTCACAAAATAACGAGAAATTTAAATCAATTTTAAAATCAAATGTATAACAATTGAAATAAACAAGATCAGGGGATTAATGATTTGAAAGATTGGAAATTTGACAAAGAATACAATTGTCTTACTTGATATCACCAAGGATATGACCACAACATAATGGTGAATTAACATGATGTAAAGCCTCTACATAATCAGGTTGTTGTAACTGTTCATGTAATCTCTTCATTTGATCATCCTGACAAAAAGAAACGATAAAAGGATTTCGTATCTGACAAATTCATCAAAAAACCTTTGCAAAGAACTGAATGATGAACATTATTGATCACAACAATATACCAAAAGAAAAATTTGTTAAAATACCTCAACAAGGCACTGGTTTGTACAAAATGGTTTTAAAATAACATTTTATTTCAATATCTAGTGATCATTTGAACATGTAGTGTAAGGTAGTTGTATGACTAACTACTTACATCTTTAACTTCTGATTTTAACATATCTGTTAATTTTGTCAGTTTATCTAGGGCTTCAACTTGTTTTATCAATTCTTTAAGATAAGATCCACAACCACGACAATAAGCCTCTAATATCAAACCAAACCGTAATCTGATAGAAGTTCTATGGATCTCAGATCTACAATATAATAATTTGTTAAAATATCATACAGTCCTTTAAATATTATCTTTGTCAGCAAAACTCAATTTCAATCACTTGTCAAAATACAATCTGATGTTTCATTTTTCTGCAATTAAACAAAGAAAGTTTGACATCACTTCCAAGCCTTAGTTAAAGATAATGTCACATCTGCAAGGTTCATTTTCTAGTTTTTTAGAATTGCAGAGAACGAGTAAATAGTTCTAAAAACTGCCAAAATTGAGGTTTAGTTATCTGGTGCTACAGCAAATAAAGTTATTAAATAATTTGCAGTTTAAAAATGATATTTATTAAAAAAAATTATTGAATTTGAAATGAGTTCCAATTAGCCCTTTTAATTGACCTAGGTCTTCAGAATTTGTTACATGTACACAAAAAAACTTACTTTAAGTGCCAGAAGAAAAAGTTGCCAATTCTCTGACTTAGGAGAGCTCTCTTTAACAAGAATGAGGTCAGTGGATTTTCTAGATATGCTTCATACTTCAAGGCCTGAATTGAAAATAGGAATAGAAAGAAGTCCATCTTGTATCACATTACATACTGATTAATATTATTCAACATGTCTATATCATATTATTTTCTTTGAAAAACTCAATGGTGCCAATGTCATTTATTTTTTGAAACACCCCTATTATAAGATGATTTTAATGGCACCTTATGTCAGTATCAAACTGGTGTGCCTCCAAACTGGTTGAGATTTCAATATAATCTAGTTCAACACCAACCTGTACAAGTTGTAATAAGTATTGTAACAGTTTATCATCTCTTAATCCTTTATCTAAACAAGATACAGCAAACTCTCTCACTTTTAAATCAGAGAATGAACAATCTAACAACTCTAGTCCAACTTCTGGGGAGACTTGTGGCCATCTTTTTAACAATAAATAAAGCTGGAATAGAAACAGACATTCTTAGCATTTGATTTAGACATCGATTATTATTGATATTTATTACAAAAGATATTATAGACAGTAGAAATAATATTGCAACCATGAAAGGCAAAGTATCATTCATTTTTGGCATTAGGATTTATATCATAAATGGATAATCTGGATAATCACATATGTATATCTTTTTGCTTTTGAATGGACTTTAAGTTTTGTCAACTTAAAGGTGAGCCCTACCTGAGCTACGTCTTTTCTATCATACCATTTAACTGCTAATAACAACTTAGGTAGAGAGTTGGGTATTGTAAGACAATATTCTCTATAAGAACAGAAAAATAATACAATATTCTGTGTAATAGCAGAAAAGTAACAGAAAATTAATACAATTTTCTGTATAACACAATATTCTGTGTAATAACAGAAAAGTAATGTAATATTCTATGTGAAAGTATAAAAGTTATCCAATATCTTTGCAAAAAGTCATTCCATATCATCTGTAATTACGCAAAAGTTAAACAATATTCTGTATGATAACAGAAGTTTCACATTTCAGTTGAATCCATAATTTGAAGGAATTTTGATATTACTACCTTCTCTTCCATAAGAGTTCTTTATCTTGTTCTAAAATATCAGCTAATGGATCTCGTGATATGATTTCTTCTAACATATCCATTTCTTTTTCTGACTGTTCTCGACTGTCAGCCTAGTGAGATTGAAATATATCATAATACAAACAGAATTTAAATACATCAAATTTTATTTCAGATTTTAGTTTGAAAACTAAGATATTTCACAAGTTCAGCTTTACACTTCAATTTTCAACATATTTAGCTGCAATGTATCTCTCAAAATATCAAATTACTATACCATATGATATATTCCCTGTCTTTCCTTTAAATAAGCTGTCTGGCCAATCTGGTCTATTAAGGCATCAGGTGGATATGCTACTGGATGAGCTAGTCTATCAAATTCAATTTCTAAACAGGGACAATCTTTATCAGGGTTGGAACCTTGAAGAAAATCATAAGGAATACTAACTTTTACAAACAAGATATATTACCCTTTGAGAAACACAGGGGGTACAAATCTGGAACCTTTAAAGACATGTTAATCTTATTCATTTTTAATATAACCCCCCAAAAACACATTTTCTGTTAAATCAAATGAGTCTAGAGCAGTCATGGAGCTGCAATGTGTCTACACTATAAAATTGAGTAACTATATGGCTAATCATTTTGAGTATAGTTTAATACATACCAGGTAATCCAATAGGATTTAATAAATCATCCATTCCTTGTGGCATTGGCCATAAATGTAAACTAACTTTTTCTGATGCTAATCTATGATTGAAATCAAACATCTGAATATTTCCCCAAGCTAATGCATAATGTACCTGTAAGAAATAGATAATATATTTAAAGATATAAATCTTTTAGATAAAATAGCTTGCCAGGCAAGGTAATATATGCCCACTGTCAGCTTTGATTTGAATAAAACTATTTGGCAGTAACAGTAAAAATAACTAGTATAAAATATTCAAACTTCAGTCTTACACTTATTTTGAACTTTGCTGGGTGTTACTGAGTAATATTACCATGTTTTGTCAAAATCCAACAGGAATTCAGCCTTTTAGCGATTTCAAGAATTGTGCCTTCTAGAATGTTTATGAGCAATTGTGGACGGACGGAACATGGTTGACGCTAAAATACCTCCCATTCTATGTGGGTGTATCAAAACATACTGCCATGACCAATTTTCCCGATAGTCTTTCAATTCACCCATTCTCACGTTAGGAAATAGGTTTAAGTTTATGCAATGAGATTCTATTATGTAAAAAATCAAATACAGCAATATGGAGTAAACATAACTTACCTTTTTATTTTTACGTTTAGCCACAGAAACAGAACAAATAGACAGACATAATCTAGCACTACGTGGTATATCTGGTATAGGTAGAAAAGTCAACCACTGGTCCCATCTAGGATTTGTTGAATCACCTTGATGGGTATTTCTTATTTCACTTAAAGGTTCTGTACCATGATATATACCAGCTTTAACATAGATCTAAAACATAGAAAAACAAAGAATTCATTTTATATTATAACTTATTGATGAAAATCTCTACTCACAGAAACATTTGTGAGACATCAAAGACTTTGCCTGTAATGTCTGTTACTGTTACTCAAATGCATAACTTGTTCTGATAGATTGAAGAAAAGTTCATATGTCAGACTCTAAATGTACTTACTTTACCAAATTCTTTAACATTAACATATGAAGCGCAAGATATTTTAATTCTTAAAGCAGTATTTACATCATTAGTATATAATATTTGTTGATTGTTGATTTCAGCTAGAGCTTGTATACCTGTAAACAATAAACATATATCAAACATGAATTATGTTTTATTGTTCTTTAATTTTTCTTAAAAATAATGGTAGGAACTTTTATTTTAAAAAAAATAGAATCATCTGTTTACAAATTTTACCTATCATATCCAGAATGGAAACCAAATCTTACCTCTCTGGACATAGGAAGGCACTGTAAAATGACTTTCTGTTAATGAGCTATACACACTATCTTTAGTGTATAACATAAATTGAGGTATTTTATCATCTGCTATACAATCACGTATATACTGTAATAAAGATTGATAGAGATATAGAATGGTGGTTATTCATGTATTATCATTATCCTTTCAATAAAAACCCAAATTTTCATAAGCAGAAGTATGACAAATAAAAACATAACTCATCAAGACTTTGATACCAGGCATAATCAAACAAACGTAACTCATTATTACCTTGTATTGGCCTATAGGACACTCTTCTAACAAAAACTGATCACAACCACAAACTTTCAACACATAAGATTGGCTGAATTCCTCGATACACATCTGAGTATGTTCTTTAGTCATACTCATGAGACGACTGCGACGACGTATTGTTTCTGCTATAACATCAGTAGGAGAAGCTGAGATATTGAGTTTCACACTATATTTAGTTCTATCATTATTACCAGACACTACCCATACACACATAATCACTGAATCATCTGCAACATAAATGTATCTTAAAATACAAATTTTCTTCTTTACAATAAGATAAAAAAACATTATGTTTTAGAAACATGGCAGAAATGGTGTAGCCTTAAAATGAACAAAATTATTTTTGCAAACAGGGCTTAAATTAAAACACTTAAGAATCAACACTAGAGCTTAATTTGAAATAATAATTACACTACCAGTACTACTTGTTTTTGACTTAAGCTTATGAAGATGATCAAAATATTATGATTGGAAGCATATAAGGATTATCTGTAGAATCCAATTTTGGCACCTGGTTATAACAACACTATGATTAATATCTAATTTGATTTATATTATTGAATAATACTAAAACAGTAATATTAATTAAGATAGTGGACCACAGCCATATATGCCCTTCATGGCATGCGGAGGGTAAAAACGAAACATCCATTTTAAGTTTCATCAAATTCGGTTGAAAACTAAGAGAGTAATAGCATATTCAAGATTTTGGGGCAAGGACAATAACTCTGCTACCAACAGTCGAAAATAGCTCAAATTCGAACTTGATCTTCATTATGTATACACATACCATTTGATTCCATCAGAAAATCTAGTTTTTAGAGTGTTTACAAGCAAATGTTGACGGACGGATGGATGGAATTACGGACCGACAGAGGACGGACAGGGGTGCGGACAATATATGTCCACATAGAGAGATATGGGCGTATAAAAATTGGTCCTCATTGAAATAAAACTTAAACTAAAATTTAATTTTATTCAGTCCAATAAACCGTATATTTCAGTCGTGTTTTTTCTTCATCTTCTAGTTCCTTTTTTCCCAAGTACTATTTATATGTATTTAATTACCTTTAGCTCTTATTTTTTGGTGTAAATGTGGTGGTAGAAACTTGGATGATTCAATATCAGGTGGATAGGCATACAGAGCTTGTCCATGAGGCCCATTCCGTTCTCTCTCACCAATAGCTTCTTTGCACACATTGAGTATATTCCGTCTAAAAGTCATTACTTCCAAATCTTTTGTTTCATTCAAATCATTTACAGGTATTCCTATTAACATACCTAATAAAAAAGAAATATCCACATCTGCCATTTATCTAGGTGTTAAGGGAGTCAATTCGAATAAAGGTATCAAGAAGATCATAATGAACTAAAATACACAAAATTGAAATATTTCTATCTATCTTCAACATCACAGTTCAACACTCAGAGAGCAGTACAAAATACAAAACACACTTACCAATTTCATAATTTAAAATCTTTTCTTCCCTGTTTCCAATGGGTTCCATAACTTTCAGAATTGGCTGAAACAACCTCAGATCACATAATCTTCTTGTTTCATCATAGAATTCTTCTCTTTCAGCATCTTGTGTTATGGCAACAAATATATAGGAATCTGGATCCAACAACTTACTGAATAGTGGATATTTCTTTGCTTCTGACCACAATTCAAACTTTGCTCTTTCTAGCGTCACATCTCTGTTACATTGTATGGGTACAATGACACCAGTAGGAAGTAAACAGTCCACCAAAACCTGGGATGGCATCAAATGATGCCCCCATAATTCACCCGAGCTAGGTGGCATGACCAAAGATTTATTTATTTAAAACCTCCTCATCACATACCTGCAAATAAGCCTCTTTCAATTAAAAAAAAAAACCAACACAAAACAGGATTTTAAAATTGACCAAGAGGCCTTAACATGTAAAGTCATACATTTAACATCTAATTCAAGTGAATGCAATTGCTCTTGTATTCCTCGTCTGTAGGCCTAATCCTTAAGGCCCCCCCCCCCCCCCCACTCCCCCATCACCAATTAACAAAAAATTAATCAAAAAGGTAACTTTGTTACTCCATTACTCCAAATCACTAACCTACACAAATGACAATTAGGATACAACTTCCTTTGGGTGCCAAAAATAAGTTTACGGATTTCAAAAATTAGACAATACCTTTCTATCTAGGAAAATAGGATTGAATTGAACATAATTAATTGAGAATCTAATCTAATGAAACAAGGAAAACAACAGTCACTTCCGCCTTCTAATCGGAACGGCGAAGAAAAATAAAATGATATGATTGGCTAAAATTATTTGCAAATTAAATCTACAACCGAAACTTTTGTCTATTAACTCTATCTTTCCGCTGCCCAATATTCCTTAGAAAACTAAAAGAGAGCTTTGTGGACCCAGTTGACAAGCTCAATTGCAATTAGACATGGTGTTGACAGGTGTTCCAAAGATTGTGCTAGCATCTTAATTGTTTCCTTTAAGCTAAACAAAACTTGGCTCAAGAAATGAAGCCATAGAAGCTCTTAGAAAGTGAGTAGGCCTAGTTGGTCTATAAATATTATTAATAAATAATGTTCTTTATTATATAGCTAACTCTATTGTTCGCGTCTTATAAAAGGTGGTCCGAGTTGTCCTTGTAAACAATTTATCAGCCCTATCAGTGAATTATGTCTTTCGACTAAACATTTCATTCGAGATTAGTTCTGCACCAAAGAAACTACTTAGCGATTCGATTGCACTTTTCCGGAAGTTGAAAATCTCAACCAAAATGGCTGACAACTACTCCTCCTGATGCATGTTTTGAGAAATAATTTGCATAAACATCAAAATGACTGAAAAAAATAATACAGGAATTGTTTCTGGTAATAATTTTGATATTTTAAAAATCGAATTCCGTATAACTAGGATGCAATCCTCACAAATGGCTTGCAGAAGAACTAGGCTACACTCTTGGCTACAATGATTTCTGAATAGAATATTCAGAATAGTGGTGTAACCTATATTCGTACATATAAGGATTCAAAATAATTAACATTGGTTTCTTTCCATTTTCTTTATGAACCCCTCACTTTGTCCCAGATTTCAACTGGCCTAAACTTAGCATACACATGTAATTACTCTGTGGCTACAGGCGTTTATAAATCGCAATTTTGGCCTTGAGGAAAAATGGAGTACAGTGGTTTAACCTATTTTCGTGCATATAAGGATTCAACACCAAATTTCGTCAAAGTTAAAAAAACGGAAGTTTTTAAAAATGTCTTAGATGTTTCCTCAGATATTCTATGTAGTATAATTAAAATTGGTTTGTTTCAATTTTCTTTATGAATCCCTCACTTTGACCCATATTTCGTGAGTAACCAACTTGACAACGGCGGCAAAATGTGTCACCTATTTTCGTTACAATGTTTGATCTATAAGTAAGTCTAGAAAAACACTTTGTATGCATACCCAGTGATATAATTAACTTCTCATTAACTTAAATATCATTTATTATTTATGACAATTCCTCCACGAAACCATGATTTAAAAAAAAATAGTGTCTGTCAAAATAAGATACGTAGAGTGATTTATTGCTAAACAACATAAGAATATGGCCCACATTGTGTTCTATAGAATTTTACTGCTGACACGGAATCTGCTAGTTGATCGCGTGACTTCATTCTTTGGACTCTATTCTAGTAGACAACACTTGGCATTCCAATTACAGCTCGGGATTATAAGGAAATTCGGCCGATATAAAATTGTGACGTTTGGTAATAACAGAAATCCACCATTTTGTATTTGTCAAAGTAAACATTAATACATTTTACCTTGCTTGAAACTACTGAATTAATTCTACTAGCTGATATTGTACAGAAAACCCATGTTTATCAAAACAAGCAAATGTTGGGGTCACGCGGGGTCGCACATGTTACAGTTACAACCGTCTTTCTCATTCGACATTGCTTGTTTTTCTCAAAGCAAAAATTTCCTAGCAAAAATTAGTCTGAAAATGTATCATGAAAGTGGGCGTATCTTGCTATGTTTATGTGAAGTGAAACTTACCAAAGTTAAACAATTTAAAAGGCTTAGCCATCATAGGAACTTTTTGAAATTCATACCATACTATCACACACTTATCCCCATTCGAAATATAAAATATAAAAGTTGCTGTCCCCCTTACTTTTTGTATGGAGGCCCATTAAAGACATACACCAATCAACATATATATGGCCTATATGAGAATCTTACAATTTGCGAGGCTTAGCCTTCATAGAAACCTTTTGAAATTCATAACATATGTATCTCAAACTAGTCCTCATTCCAAATATCAAATCATGAAGTTGCTGTCTCCCTTACTTTTTGTACAGAGACCCATTAAAGAGATACACCAATCAACATAAGCTTCTACATGTATATTGCCTGTATGAGAATATTGCTCAGAGTTTACGGATAATTTGCAAGTCTTAGCCATCATATGAACTTAATGCAATTCATACCATACTATCTCACACAAGTCCTCATTCGACATATCAAATCACAAAGTTGCTGTCTCCCTTACTTTTTGTACAGGACCCATTAAAGACATACACTAATCGACTTATATATGACCTATATGAGAATATTACTCAGGGTTAGGGGCAATTTGCGAGACCTTTTGAAATTCATGCCATACTATCTCTAACTTTCCTGGGAGGAAGTGTGTGTATTCTAAATGTCAAATGTCTGAGCCTTATAATTCTACGGACCTGAAGATATTCTAAAACAAATGGTATGCAGTTGAAAATTATATTTTGAATGTTTATGAAATGAGAGAAATAATTCAATTCAGAGCTCAATGTAGTCAGAGAGTAGATCTATTTTGCAAAATATAAAAATCGCAGCCAAAGATCAGGACAGGGCTCTGTTTTTTTTTTTTTGTACAGCAAATCTCATGTTTCTATAATAAGTAAATCAGTATTAAGGGCTGAGAGCCGGCTGACTCTTAAGAGCACTGGCACAGGCATCCAAATTTTTCTTCCCTTTGAGGAGGATTCAAACCCACAGCACTTATTTGCCTAGCAGACAAACTTGCTACTGAGTGATCTATTCCATTGCCACAAACAAGACAGGCAAGGATAGGTATTAGATGATGGGAGCCGACTCTAAAAAGAATTTTCCTTATCTCGAGGAGGTATCATTATGTATCGTGACACAGGTATCGTAAATTGTCACTGATATATAATACCAGCACTACCATATGACAAATTAGTCAAACCTATGATAAGCTCATCACTAGTAGAAAGCTAGTAGTGCTAAATATTAGTGAGAAAATTGTAGATTCTAGAGCTCCTGGAAGGACCTACTTTTCTGAATATACCCTCAATATAATCATAAACGATATATATATTATTTCATCTGATGATGACACATGTAATTTGTGTTGAACGTTATGTGTTTAATATTTTTTTATTTAAGAAGTGCTCTTATTCCATAATATTGTCTTATGTTTGTCAAATATCTTAAATACGTTAGACTTCTTGTATGATTTGACACAGATTGGCAACAACCCTTTATATTATGAAAAATTGTTATGGAATTAACCGTATAGAAATTTTGCAAGAACAAGAAACATAAACTGTGAATTAGTTAGGTATATTTTTTTTCTTTTCAGTGGGAAAACCAACAATGTCAACACCCACACAAAGTACCAATGATAATGGACAGACTTCAGCTTACAGTGCTTACACAAATAACTTCAATTATGGTTATAATTATACAACAGGACAGTATGACCCAGCTGCATATGCACATTATTGTAATGCTTATAATCAGTATTATGGTTATAATCAACAATACCAATATGATGCCGCTACTGGACAATATAACTATCATCCAACTAGTCATACCACTTCAGTTCAATCTCAAACTTCTCAGAATCAGGTAACTACACAAACACCTGTTGCTATTACCACACCAGCATCAACAGCATCTAATGTTCAACAGCCAACAATGATTGGTCCACAGTTACCACCACCACCTCCACCAGCTATTACAGTATCCCAAACTGTAACAACATCTCCTTATACCTACTCAGCAACTCAGACAGCGGCAAGTTCAGTTCCTGCAGTATTACCTCCTCCACCACCTCCTCCTGTTCCTGTTCTATCATCCTTCTCCAGTACAATGTTCCCGCAGCAATCCAATGTGATGATGCCAGCTACTCCTTTAGTGGCGCCACCCATAACTAGTAATCAACAATTTGGTTCCAGTGCTGCAATTCAACCGCCAACTAATACATTATCCTTTAATACTGGAATGATTACTGCTGTTAGTAGTCAGTCAGCAACTCCAGCAGTACAAACACCACAGTTCACAGTTCCACCCCCTTCTGTTACAACAGCACTGCCGAACTATGGCTATGGATATGGATATGATTATAACTTCTTTAATCAGCAATATGATAACACATCCCTGAATATGAATACCAGTGCAGGAACTAGCAATCCAGCAGCTGCTTCTACTGCGTCTATCAATACAAATTATGGACAACAATATCCTTATTCAAACCAACAGCAAAATAACTTTCAAAACTACCAGCAAGGACAATATAACCAAATGTCAAATCAACAACAGTCATACAATACAGAAAACCAATTGCAGTATAAGCAGACCAGTCAAAGTTATTCCACTCCAACCAATCAGTTAGGTGGAACTAACTCCTATAATTGGATGGATGCTTATAAAGTAAACAATCAACAAAAATTTACAACCAATACAGGAAATGATCCAATAGGACAGAAGCCTGCTCATCAAACAAGTAAGCATGGAAATATGAATAAGAAAGGGAAGAATAAAAGAAATCAAGATCACAGTTTGAAACAACAAGTTGAAACTACTGTTCCAGAGCCAGAAAGACCAAAAGAAAAACTTGTATTAAGTAAAAAAGTTGGTCCTGCTGATGCTTCGAAACCGAAAGGCACATTTGCTGCCTTGTTAGGAAGTGTTGAATTTGAACCAGATGAGTATGATCAATCTACAGAATCAGAGTCAGAAGATGAAATACCTGAAGAAAAAAAAGATAAGACTCCAATCGGTACAGCATCATTTTTGGCAAAGGCTTCAAATAAAACTCCTTTTAACAATGAAAAATTTTCTGATCTTCATGGTGTTCCAAAAAAGCAGCCCAAATCGTTTGCCACTAAGCCTGCAGCTTCAGCAAATTTGGAATTTGATCCAGAAGCTTTCGGATTACCAACCTCATTCACAGGTAGACTACCAAAAGTAAATGACACTGCTCAGTCTGCAGCTGCTGAACAAAATAGAAGACAGCCACCTGTGAGAGAATCTTTCCGACCTAAACAATCATATTATGATTGGAAACCAGCAGCAAGAAACAATTTCTTAAAAAATAAACAATCTGATGAAATAGATGATGTAAGCGCAAGGTATGATGCAGACTTTCAGGAATCATATAGTGGTAGACCAAATTGGAATAACAAGGATGATCCTAATAGAAGATTTAACAGTAATCATAACAACCTAAAACCATTAAGTAGTTCTTTTGATGCACCGTTTCAATCAGGATTTGTAGAAAATATGCCAAATTTGAAGCAACCTCCGCCCATAACTAATAGAAAATGGATGGGTAATAAACCGAATGTTGTTTCTTCATTTGATGCTGATGCAATTGCTTCTCAAGATCCATATTTTTATGAGAATCATGACTGGAATGATCCAGGAGAAGGTTCATATAATATGAAGTACAGTGGTTATTCAGAGTTTTCATCTAATGAACCGTTCCAAAATTTTCACAATTTGGACAAACCAAACAATCAAAAAGGAAGTCAACAATTTGATTCTAGAAACAATGAGAATGATCTGATTACTGATTTTAAGAGGACCAATAGAAGTTCTGAGAAACAGCCTGTTAACCAGCTATTTGAAGGTGAAGATAGAGATGACCGGTTTCCAATGGATAGGTTTCAAAAGAATAATGCGCCATTTAAGAGACATTTGCCACCAAGAAGCCCTTTTGAAAGTACAAGTTTTGAATCTGGACCTCCAACATCATTTGCAGGAACAATGAATACTCTTATAACTAAATTTTTGAAAAAAGAAACTCAAAACCCATCATTACCTCCCCCATTTCCTACCAAAAGTACATCACAATCACATAACCATGAGTTAGACATGGCTACTTTTGGACTCCCAACTTCATTTGCTGGTAAAATAACATCAAAAAACAATCAACAGAGAAAAGATGATAGTCAATATACAGATAGTATTCAAGATGAAGATTTTAGGTATGGTCAGTCTTCTATTTCCAGATGGGATGATGTTCAAGATACAGATTGGCGAAATAATCAGAAAAACACCTTCTTAAAGGATCCTTCCAATGGAAGATTTTCAAATAGGAACAAAAATTTTGATATGAAGAGCAGAAATACTGATTTTGTCTCAAATGATCCATACTTTCAGCATAGTGAACATTTTGATTCTGAGGATTTGAATAATTACGATGAACCAGGCTATGCTCCAAGAGGTGAGGTTGATACATTCAGTGGCAAAAGGAAATCATTTGAAGAAAAAGATTCTTTGATAGAGGATGCAAAAGGGAAACTTGACCACTGGTTTGGAAGAGATAAATCTAATGTAAAGCAACCATTCAAAGGATGTTTTAGTAATACAGAAGAACCATATAAAAGGATGAAGCCAGCTGAAAACACACTTTTTGAAAGAAAATTTCAAACTTCAAAGTTTGCACCAGAGCCTTTTAAAAGAATTTTTTTGCCTTTAGATGCATCTAACAGGGAAGAAACAGATAAGCCGTTAAAGAGAATATATCCACTGGACAATACTGGAGAGCATATCAAAAGATTTCAGTCAGATCATGTGGTGAATGACCCAATAAATCGGAAAAATTCTGTTGACAATCCTTGTATTGAATCATTTAAGCGATCTCGTTTCAGTGATGTTACTCCATTTGGTCAAGAGCCTCCATTAACATTTCACACTCAGGCTATTGGAAGAAAACATTTTCCATCAGATATTGAATCAGCTGACACATTTCCAGGTTCACTTTATGGAGGTCCATCACCATCACATAGACCTACTTCATTTAGGAGAGGACCTCCTCCATCTGACATTTCTTTTGAACCATTTAAGAAAGACCTACCAAATCTTAATACTGAAACATTTGAAAGAGGATTCCTTTCTTCTGATGTTACAATTGAGCCTTTTAAAAGACTATCAGATGTTACCACAGACAGATTCAGAGGAAAATCTTCTGATGATGTTGTTCTTGAGCCCTTTAGGAAAGGCCACAGTTCTACTGGCCACGATGCTACAATGGATCATTTCAGTAAAGGCCCATCGTTCAGTGGTGTTAAAACTGAGCCATTCAGTAAAGATCCATCTTATAAAAATGTTACTATTGAACCTTTCAGGAAAGGTCCATTGTTAAGTAGTGTTATGAAAGAAATCAATATTGAGTCTCATTCTATCTCATCTGATGTTACAATTGAACCTTTTATGAAGAAACATTTTACTACTAGTAGAAATAATAGTGTAGAAACCCCAAGAGATAATTCAATGTTTAAAAAGGATTTTCCTCTAAAATCAGAAGTCCCAACTTGTAGGAATAAAACTAGCTTCACTGATCAACCAATAGTTCGGGATTCTAAACACATCAAAAAACCTGACATTCAAGGTTCATCGCATCCTCTTGTTACCAAACTTGTTGGAACTAAACGGTCAAAGGAGATTTCAACTGTTAAAAGTTTGACACAGGAAATAAAAACTACTGTCAAAATATCAAAATCTCCATCTGAAAACACTTTAATTGACAAATCACTTAATACAAGGCCTCCTTCACCCAAATCAATTATTCAGAAGTCTGAATCATCACTGCAGCCTCTGTTGGAGCCTGTCAAATCAGTTTCATCTACCCAAACTTCGAATTCCAAAGAAAGCTCAACAGTGACAAACCCTAAACCAAACAGCACTTTGGCCTTTTTGAAATCAATAATGAACAGAAAAGCTGGAAGTTCTGTTCCAACAACTACTTCAACAACCTCTATAACTACCAAACCAATGGATGCGTGTGGAAAACCTCTTGACTCCAAACCTGTGACTACTGGTCAACTGCTGAACATGTCTTCAAACTCAAAGGAAGTGTCAAAGTTGACTAGTTTTAAACTATCAGATTCAAAGAAATCTACTCATGAATCCAAAGAAAGTAATGATGTTAAAGCTACTTCTAAACCAGCTAATCTTCCAGCAGTTTCTTTGACCCAAAGCACCCAAGTTACAGCCAGCAAACCTACTAAACCATCAGAACAGTTTGGAGCTCAGAAGAATACTTCTCTAGAAAGTAAACCAACAACTAAAATGGTAACCTCACAAATAACAGATTCAAAGAAATCAACCCCTGAATCCAAAGAAAGTAATGATGTCAAACCTACTTCTAAATCATCCAATCTTCCAGCAGTTTCTTTGACCCAAAGCATCCAAGTTACAGCCAGCAAATCTACTAAACCATCAGAACAGTTTGGAGCTCAGAAGAATACTTCTGTTGAAAGTAAACCAACAAAGAGTAGTTTGATATCCTCAAAGCCATCAGATCATTTTGTGGTTCAAGTGTCTTCTACTCAAATATCTAAACCAACTGATATCAAGTCGATTGAGGCTAAATCATCAGATAATAATGGAACACCAAAAGCATCTTCTGCTGTCTCTAAGCCTATGACATCTCCAAGACAGGCAAATGATATGCCAGATAGTCCTCAACTGTCTTCAAGCCAAACAACCACTGCAACTTCTGTAAATATATCTAGCACCAACACTATACCTAAGACATTATATTCCAAACCTGTTGACCATTTTTGTACCACAACATCGCTGCAGAAAAGAAGGCAAGCTACAACTACTGGCAAAGAGAAAATTAAAGACGATTCATTTGAAATTGAATTTCAAACAATCCTTGATCAAGTTACTAATGTTGATCTCAAGATGAAAATGCTGAATACCAAATGTAATTTATGTAATGTGGCATTAACTTCAAACTCAATGGCTGTTCAACATTATAGAGGCAAAAACCATCAGAAGAAGTTGAAAAGTTTCCAAAATGAATCCAATCCTCAACTAAATGTATCATCAACATCATTGGCTCTTGTCGTGAGTTATTTTACAATTTCTTTATATGTAATATACCTGTTGAGGATCTGACAACAGATCCCTTTTGAAGATTTTTATATTCCCATACAAAGATTGAGAAAATTTCCCCTTCAGTCAATTAGCTTGTTCTCATTTATTACACATACTATTATAATTCTTTATTTTAATTTTTGTGTGTATGCTTCAAGATGCTAATAGAAAATTATTTATGTGACATAATCTAGATGCGTACCATTTGATTAAGGTCAGAATCGTCCAGAATGTACTAATTAATTGCCACCCTTTTGCCTTTTATAGGGATGAGTTTAAATATGTGCTTTTATACCCCCTTCACATATACATTTTTCTTCAAGTCTTTATGAATCGCTAACTCGTAGTTAACTGCAATCATCTGAAAATAACTTGCTGGGATCCATAAATAACTCACTGGTATCTGTTAATAACTCGTAACAACTTGCAACAAGTTGCAGGCAATCACAGGATTTTAAGATTTATTACGATTAGATTACGATTGTACGAGTTATTGCTGTAAGATTACAATTAGATTACGATTCTATGAGTTATTACAAGTATTTTTTGTGTAGTTTCTCTAGTACTTTACAATGGGTACGTAGTCTTATTTATAGTTTTCTGTTTGAGGACAGGTATAAAAGCTAATAAGATGTAAAGCTGTAAATACTTGTATCAATATGTTGAACTAAGTTATCTGTGACAACAATCAGATTTTGATGTAAATACATGATAATGATTCGCTTGAGGAAGGACTTGTAAGAAAAATCATGTGCATATATGAAGGTGGTGTTACCAGATGATCATATTACATTATTAGACGCGATTTCAGCTATCAGTCAAAGAAGATCGAATTGGAAATAACGATAGTTTTGGCCCAGAATGTTTTGTTGAATTGTTTGAGAACATATATTATATATTTTATACTACTTTATTCTTAAAAGTATCTGTTTTTTTATAAAACTTGGTATTTAGTTTCACCAATCAGAATTTAAGGAAGTAGGAAGTGAAACAGTTTGAAAAGATAAAGGGAAAATACCAGAAAGTCTTGTGCATATTTCTCAAAAATCTGATTAAAATGCAGATTTGATTTGTTTTTTATTTGTTCAAAACATCTCCCTCTTTTTATTCAGTCTCTGACAGCAATTTCATCCATCCACATTTCTTATCTGATCTTGATGGAACTTGGTCTGCATGTACATACTGATGATGTCTTGGTCAAGTTCAAAATTGGTAATAATCGGTTGAATGGTTTCAGAGTTAGTGCCCTTGAGTTAGTAAAAACGTGTTAAATTTTGCGTTGATTGCATGATAGAGGCTCCACTTTTTATCTGATCTGTAGGAAACTTGGTATGCATGTTTATATTGATGAGATCTTGGTCAAGTTCGAAACGAATGGTTTCAGAGTTATTGCCCTTGACTTAGTTAAAACATGTCAAATTGGTTTTTAGGCACGATAGAGTCTAAAGTTTTTATTCTATCTTGATGAAACATTGTGTGCATGGATATGTTTATGAGATCTTGGTCAAGTTCAAAACTGGTAATAATTGGATGAACAGTTACAGAGTTATTGCCCTTGACTTAGTTTAAACACGTCAAATTGGTTTGTAGGTATGTTAGAGTCAACAATTTTTATCCGATCTGTCTGAAGGCAGGAGACTACAGTTTTTATCCTATCTTGATGAAACTTGATATGTAGGTATTTATTAATAATATCTCGGTTGAGTTTGAAATTGATGAACGGTTTTAAAGTTATTGCCACTGTGTGTACCCTGATGAGACCTTTAGTGGGCGTATGTTTACTTACCTGGCAAGCTGTCTTTCTAGCTTAATATTCAATTACCTTTATCTAACTGTAAATTAGTGTGAGGTATGTTTTGTTTTGTTTTGTTAGTATCACGTGACTCTGTGACCCTTGATCTCTTGGCTGCTCACACAGTTTTGAATGGCCGACAAGAGATCAGTTTCTTTAAATTAAGACTTTGATGGTTTGCAAGTGTGACATAAATTGTGTAGGGGGATTGAACTATAAAAATATGCTTCTTTCTAAATATATCTGGTTTGGCGGATCCAAGGTGCGCAAAAATCCACATAAGACTGTCTTTACACCAGCTGACAACTTAAAAAACAGATATCAGAGGCTGATGTTTGGTTTTAGTTTTTTTATATGCCCATATCTCTCAAGTATGTGAGCAATATCACATTTTTGCGTAAATGATCAAGAATCTATATTTCTTTAACTGATTTTGATCAAATTTGGTATGTGATTCATAAACTTAAATTAAAGATCAGGTTTGAATTTAAGTATTAGCCGAATATTAATCCCTGTAATCACTTAAGCTTATACCTATCTCATCAATAGTATCAACCTATTTTATTTTGTGTTTTTTTTTTCTGGAAGTAACTCACTCTTTTTTCTATAGAAAAACCTCTTCACAATTCCTTGAAGATAATTTATGCATGTTTCTTTAGCAACAGTACAATATTGTTCACACCTAACTGTTGCTTTCACAATCCTATATATTCTCGTCATAAGAGACTAATAATCTATCTTGGTAGACCATATATCATCCAATTTATTTAATCACTCATCTCGTAAGATTTGGTGTAAAAGGATGGCGATTGCAGATGGGGGGCCTCCATTGATCATTAGGAACTATTGCATTTTTGCATCAACCCCCTTCTCGATAAGCTTTCCATGTGAAACTTGGCAGAAACTCACTCAATATTCCTTGATATTCACAAAAGATTTCAGAGCATTCTAACTCTTCCATCAATCTCTTAGCAATTTTCAAAGTGTGAATTTAGGGGGACATAATTCATTTGTGTTGTTGTACTTGCTTTGCCAAATCATTGCCTCTAATGTCATTTCAAATATTTAGGAATATTCTGATGAAAATTTAGTTTATTTGAAGGAATCTAATTGGTCGAGAATTAAACTCTCTACTTATCAAAATTAATGAGAAGAATATGGGATTGTGAAAGTAACTGTTGATACAGGAACATGGTCATCATCAATCATTCAGCGCCATTTCAAAAGTTTTAAATAATATCAGAAATGTGGGTAGTTTAGTTTTGATCTTGATTCGTTGAAATTTGGTATGAACATGAATATTTATTGTTGAGATTTCTGACAATTGAACACTTTTGAGTTATTGCTCTAGCCGTAGCTGAAATTGGCTTTTTTTGGATGTGGATACTTGGTACCGGTATACATTTGTATTAACAAAACATATTATTGGTGAGATTTTCAATAAGTTTGATTTATGACATCTTCATGAATGATTTTCGCGCTTATTCCCTTAGATAAGTGAAAAACAATAAAACAAATTATTTCACCGAAGATAAAATTCTGATTTAGATAAAAGTTGAATTTGTGAGATCTTTTGGGGGATTTTTTTAGTTATTGGTCTAGACTTTTTTTCATGAAACGTTTATCAGTAAATAAATTTTTCTGATTAGTTTTATGTGAATTGCAGTTTCAGCAGAAGAAAGTACTGAGAGTACTGTAGTTATTTTAAAGATTCAATATAAGCACTCTACCCTCTGAGACATTTCAACCAAACATTTTGGCTGAAATTGTCCTAAGGTGTACTACTATATTTAGTCTTAATGTTTCTCTTACCATCAATCTTACCTATGTACAATTGGGTAAAAACTTGAGCTACATTCAGATGTGACCAGTCAATTTTCCATTAAAAACATCTTTTATTCAGTTACATTGATATCTGCTTTGTGAACAGTTTGCTCACTACTAAAAAAGTTGGATTATTTAAAAGGCTGCAAAGTATAAAAATGGTCATTATTGACTATTTGTGTTTTTTTCAAAATGTAATGGAAATTTTCAATAATTGTTATCCACTTCATGTATTATTAGGGTTGACTTCCAGAAAAAGATCTCGAACTGTAGCAAATTGCATTGACATAGAATGGATTTACCTCAACAGGTCTGCAGATGTATCAGGTACTGTAGTTTCACCTTTGTTTTGTTTAATTCAATGGACATAATAGTAAATTTCAGCTTCTTTAACTTCCAGTTTGATGCTCAACATCAAGATTCCAACAAATATTGTGCAGCGTGCCTGCTGTCATTCCAAACTCCTAGTCAAGCTTCAACACATTATATCAGTCAGGCTCACACTGCTAAAATGAAGCAAACTTCATTACAAAAAAGGTTTGTATATAATTCAAATAAGATTAAATGGTTAGGAATATTAATGGATACAGCGTAGAATTGTTTCAAATTTGCTTTTTGATTTAGGTTATGTATGTATGAAGTTTTTTTCTTCTACAACTTGATTACTATAGACTATTCTCTCTTTTTCAGTAAAGCTGTATTTAGATGTGAATTATGTAATGTTACTGTCAACTACCAGACAGAGTTAGATGCTCATTTTAATGGTGCCAAACACAATGCAAACAGTCAGAAAAATTCAGGTCCAGTTGGATATGTTTCTGCAAGTGTGTCTCCACTTGAATTAGTTCCTCCAATTGTTAGTAAATCTGCAATTACCAAAACATCTCAAATTAAATCGGGGATCATTGTTGAACCAAAAAATCTTGACAATGCCTCAACAGCAAGTTCTTCAGAAGCCAATTTTGGAAGTATTGATAAAGGAAAATCTGAAACAAAGGATGTAGAACCTACCAGTGCATCGATGGCTTCAACTAAAGGCTCAACAGTAGAAACTGATAATCAAGAGATGACCAAGTCATCAGAAAGCAATTCAACGAAAGATTCAACATCTAATTCCAAAGATGCCTCCAAAGAAACAATTTTAAACATTACTGCTCTGACGGAAAAAGATACGAAAGACCAGACTTCAATGTCAATGGATGCCACTGCAAAGAGTTCAATTAATGAAGTTACCAAGACGTCAGATTCAGATGTATCAGAATCCACACTACCCAATCCACAAAGAGGAAGAGGTGGCATGGATATTGAAAGAGGTGGCATGGGAAGAGGAAGAGGTGGCATGAAAAGAGGAAGAGGAGGTGTGGACAGAGAAAGAGGTGGTATAGGAAGAGAACAATTCGAAAGAGGAAGAGGCGGAATAGAAAAAGGAAGAGGTGGCATGGAGAGAGGAAGAGGGGGCTTCGAAAGAGGAAGAGGTGGCATGGAGAGAGGAAGAGGGGGCTTCGAAAGAGGAAGAGGAGGCTTTGTCAAAGGAAGAGGCATGGAAAGAGACATGGATAGATTTGACCAAGGCAGAAATGAATTTGATGATGCTTACAGAGAACCTTTTGGTGGACCCTTTCCTCGAGGCCCTGTTCATCATGGACTTGGTAGACCACGGGGACTTGATATTGATAGAGGTACTTATTATATGATTTGGTAATCTCGGTCAGATTAAAATCAGATCAAACTTTCGTTCCATGTTTTACTAGCTTTCATATTTATGTAGCCATTTCGGGTCTTAAGACACCTCTTCGTTTCTTGGTATTAATGACCATTGCTTCAACCAATCGAGTTTAACTGGGTCAATTGGAATATGAAATAAAAAAGTGTATTGAAACAATGTTCAGTTTCAGTGGACTGGATAAACCCTGGAAAACAAATTATTTTGTGTCTCTTATCCTGGCGTTCAAAAGGGAAGAAATTTGATTGGCTCGCAGTGTCATCAAATAGATGAATGTTCAACAGTGGTGCTTTAGACCCAAAATGAAGTGGCTGTAAAAAATAAAAGCTAATAACCAACGGAATGAAAGCTTTGATCTAATATTGATTAGACTGGTAAAATATTTTAGTAAAAGACATGAAGACAGTCCGTACCTTCTTGGTTTTTATACGCCCACAGGGAAATGTGGATGCATATTGCCATTGCTGTCAGTCGGTCAGTTTGTCTGTTCACATTTCTTGTAGGCACAATTGAAGCTGCATTTCTTTTATCCTATCTTGATGAACTTGGTATGTATGGATATATTGATGAGAGCTCCGTCAAGTTCAAATTTAGTATTAATCTGATAAACAGTATTGTAGTTATTAAAAACGCCTCAAATTTGGCTAGTAGGCCCGATAGAGGCTACAGTTTATATCGAAATTGGTTTTAGAGTTACCCTTGTGTGTTTGAATTTGATAAAAATTTGATTTTGAGATTTTGACAAATTTGTCTTTCATTTGATGTAAACACACGCTTTGATCAGATTCAAATGAGACTTTGTATGTACTTGCATTTTCAATAAGTGTTATGTGAGTGATATTTTTATACGCCCACATTATAATATGGACGTATATTGCCGTCGCCCCTGTCTGTTCATCAGTCCGCAGTTGGCTTGTGAACATAATAGATTTTAATGAACGTTTTTTTACTTATTGCCCTTGACATAAGAAAAACACGTAAAAATTTGTTTGTAAACACACTAGAGAATAAGTTTTCATCTGAGTTAAATAAAATTTGGTGTGATATTGCTCAAGTTAAAAGTTGACGATCTTTTCATGAACGGTTTTTGAGTTATTGCCCTTGACTTAAAAAAAATGTTTCCAAATAGAGACTACAATTTTCATCCAATTTAAATGAAATTTGGTGTGATCATTTATAATGATGAGATCTTTGATTTTTCAATCAACAGAATTTGAGTTATTAGCCTTGACTTAGTAAAACGCATCAAAATTTCTAAGCTTGTGAAGGCAATTAAGGTGACAGTTTATGTCCGAATTTATGTGTGTTTGTTTAAATGAACAATATCGTATAGTGTATCTTGCTAGGCAACCACTTGACTTTTATACATATGCACGCATGGAAATGTGGACTTGACATCATCTTTGTTCGTTCGTCTTTTCACTTTCGTTGCAGACAGATACATTTTTTTTATTTACCTTGATGAAACTTGGTTAGCATGTAAATAATGATGAGATCTTAGAGAGTTAGTAGACTTAGTAAAACGCCTCAAATTTGACTATATGAGGCTGCAGTTTAGATCTGATCTTGATGAAACTTTGAATGAATTATATTGATAATATTATAAGTCAAAATTGGTAATAATTTCTTTTTTTTTTCATTATTGCCATTGACCTAGTAAAATGTTTTCCGCTGTCACTTGTAGAATTGAAAGAGGTCTTGTTCAAGGTTGGTAATGATAGTAAATTTATTTTGATTTTGAAGTTGTTGACCAACCTTGACAAATATGGTTTGGAAGAACAAACAATTATCATCATTTCATTAATGAATGAAGTAGAATATCTAGATCTAGAATATGAGAAACTTGGTATGTAAGTCACTAAAGACTTTGATATCATTTCTGGCAGCTGCAAATGATCCAATACTGCGTAAAACTAAATCATGGATGATATGTGAATTAAGCTATAGTTTTAATCAATCACAATTGTAATGAAATAGGCTGCTTTGTGGATGTATACTTCTAATATTGTACCTCACATTTTTATTTTTACCGTATTGTATTGATTTTGTGAATATGTTTGTTGCCAAAACTTTTAGCATTTATATGGATTATTGTATTTCATGACATAGCTCTGAAGTATTGAAAACTTTTCAGTCTGAAGCCACAGAGATCTGAAAGAGTTTTGTAACTTGTATGTTATAACATGTCAGCCATTTTTCACAGGCATTAAACAGAAGTATTCTTTCAGTATGTTGCGAATTGTTTTTCTGTAGATTCTAGTATTAACACTAGGATTTACTTGGTATAAAAGAATATTATTTAGGGCATTAACAATTATAGAATTGACAGAAAACTTGGTATTTTATGATGATTATTTGGAGTGTTAATGTTAAAATTGACAGTAAACTTGGTGTTTTTTTTATGATGTTTATTCTTAGTGTTAACACTAGAATTGACAGTAAACTTGGTATTTTATGATGATAATTTTCAGGGTTAATGCTATAATTGACAATAAACTTGGTATTTTATGATGATAATTTTCAGAGTTAATGCTAGAATTGACAGTAAACTTGGTATTTTATGATGATAATTTTCAGGGTAAATGCTAGAATTGACAGTAAACTTGGTATTTTATGATGATAATTTTCAGGGTTGATGCTAGAATTGACAGTAAATTTGGTATTTTATGATGATTAATTTAAGTGTTAACAAATTGACAGTAAACTTGGTGTTTTTTTATGATGTTTATTCTTAGTGTTAACACTAGAATTGACAGTAAACTTGGTGTTTTTTTTATGATTTTTATTCTTAGTGTTAACACTAGAATTGACAGTAAACTTGGTATTTTATTATGATAATTTTCAGGGTTGATGCTAGAATTGACAGTAAACTTGGTATTTTATGATGATTAATTTAAGTGTTATCAAATTGACAGTAAACTTGGTGTTTTTTTATGCTGTTTATTCTTAGTGTTAACACTAGAATTGACAGTAAACTTGGTATTTTATGATGATAATTTTCAGGGTTAATGCTAGAATTGACGGTAAATTTGGTGTTTTTTATGATGTTTATTCTTAGTGTTAACACTAGAATTGACAGTAAACTTGGTGTTTTTTTTATGATTTTTATTCTTAATGTTAACACTAGAATTGGTAGTAAACTTGGTATTTTATGATGATTAATTTAAGTGTTAACAAATTGACAGTAAACTTGGTGTTTTTTTATGCTGTTTATTCTTAGTGTTAACACTAGAATTGACAGTAAACTTGGTATTTTATGATGGTTAATTTAAGTGTTAACAAATTGACAGTAAACTTGGTGTTTTTTTATGATGTTTATTCTTAGTGTTAACACTAGAATTGACAGTAAACTTGGTATTTTATGATGATTATTTGGAGTGTTAAAATTGACAGTAAACTTGGTGTTTTTTTATGATGTTTATTCATAGTGTTAACACTAGAATTGACAGTAAACTTGTTATTTTATTTTAGTGTTAAATTAAGCAACTTTTTGATTAATTGGTGTTTCTATTGCATTATCATTAGTATTCTTAATCATATCATTATGTTCTTATTGCATATGATTTAACCAATCATAAATGCCCATGGTGCCCACGAATGGTGATTTTTACCAATTGAAAAATTGAATTAAAAATTGGGCTATTTACGACTGAATTTCGCCGTTTTCTCACCTGCAATACAAACTTACTGTTGGTAACGACTCGCTTAGAAAAGTTTATGTCATTCAAATAGAGGTTATTCATATTCCCGATCTCTCGAGGAACGCCAAAGCCGTGAAACAATAAATAATTAAATTTAAATTATAGAAGGAATCATATTAAAAAATATCGAAGAACAATAAGAAAGGTATCAGATGTTAACATTCTTTGATCTGATTGGACAGTAAAAGCTGTCTATTTATATCAGCCAATCAGTTTCTTACTTTCATTATTTTTATTTCGGTTTTGATGTGCAGGTTGAGATGGTCAAAGGTCAATCCTTAGATTATCCAGCACAAGTGAATGTAATGAAATGTGACGGGGGTTGCGAGGGTCTTTACTTGACGTATAAAT